GATACTAAGATATGTAACAGGGTTGATGTTCCAGGAGGGATAAGCCAAATGGCAAATGATTTAGGTAAACTAGAAAAATGGTCAGAATTGTGGCAACTGACATTTAATGTGGATAAGTGCAAGATAATGCATCTTGGACGTAAAAACCCAAGGGCAGAGTACAGAATATTTGATAGAGTCCTAACCTCAACATATGAGGAAAGGGATTTAGGGGTGATTATTTCTGATGACTTAAAGGTAGGCAGACAATGTAATAGAGCAGCAGGAAATGCTAGCAGAATGCTTGGTTGTATAGGGAGAGGTATTAGCAGTAGAAAGAGGGAAGTGCTCATGCCATTGTACAGAACACTGGTGAGACCTCACTTGGAGTATTGTACACAGTACTGGAGACGTATCTTCAGAAGGATATTGATACCTTAGTGAGGGTTCAGAGAAGGGCTACTAAACTGGTTCATGGATTGCGGGATAAAACTTACCAGGAAAGGTTAAAGGATCTTAACATGTATAGCTTGGAGGAAAGACGAGACAGGGGGGATATGATAGAAACATTTAAATATATAAAGGGAATCAACACAGTAAAGGAGGAGACTATATTTAAAAGAAGAAAAACTACCACAACAAGGACATAGTCTTAAATTAGAGGGACAAAGGTTTAAAAATAATATCAGGAAGTATTACTTTACTGAGAGGGTAGTGGATGCATGGAATAGCCTTCCAGCTGAAGTGGTAGAGGTTAACACAGTAAAGGAGTTTAAGCGTGGGATAGGCATAAGGCTATCCTAACTATAAGATAAGCCTAGGGACTAATGAAATCATTTAGAAAATTGAGCAGACTAGATGGGCCGAATGGTTCTTATCTGCCGTCACATTCTATGTTTCTATGTTTCTAATGTGTAGTCTAGTTCTGTTGGGTGTTATAGTCTCCAGATGTCAAGTAGATTGTGTTGAGTAGTGAAGTCAGATTGTCTGTTCTAGTGTTTATCTGTGGGGGGTGTGTAGTGTTATGTCTGCACCTGTCCACTGAGCGGGATATTGTTGCGTTGATGTCACCTCCTATGATTTTGTGGTGGGTTGGAAAGAGGCTGAGATGTGCCCCGAGATTGTCCCAGAAGGCTCTGGGGTGTTGGGTGCTAATACGGAGCCGAGGGCGTATTTTGTCGGTCCTATGATGCCCGCAATTGTTAGGAATCGTCCCTGAGGGTCTGGAAGCGTGGTGAATATTTGTAGAGGGCAGAATTTTCTTATCATGATGGCCACTCCGTTTTTTTTCCTAAGTTGGATTGGCAAAATGGCATCCCTGATAGTGGCGGCTCATGAGAGGGATCGGATGGCTCTGGGCATAATGGGTTTCCTGGAGGAAGATCAAGTCTGCGTTTGAGCGGTTAGCCCAGCACGTAAGTAAGTGTAAGGGGTAAGAAGCTCGCAGTTGAGGGAGATACAAGTAAAAGTTGGTGGCATGTCTGGGTGTTGGAGTTTACTTTCGAGTCGGCGAGACGGAGCGTTAACCAAACTAATAAAATATACAAGTAAAAATTGGACCCGCTGATCTTGCCAACGTGGCGAGCTCAAGGGGTATAACAAGAGTTGGTGGTCTCCCTTGACAGTGTCATACAGGGAATTGTCCCGGTCTTAGCGTGTTTGCCAGGCAATGTGGGGCGGGTGACGCCTCCCTGAGTAGTGTACTCTGGTCGTCTCTGGAGTATCTCCCGTGCTGGGCTCATTTACGGTTTTGTTAACTAAGGAAGGGCCATATTTTCTGTGGGTTTTTGGTTCAGGTGCGGGATGTGTCTAGTGAACGTCTGTGTCTGATAATTCTGTATTCTACGGAGGTTGTCACCAAACAGTGCCTGTGTTGGGCAAATAGCTGGAGTGTAATAAAAATATATATATTTTTATGTTGAGGCGTATATTTTTCCATTTACCTCCCTGCCTCCAGCGGTCCCTCGCAGTGATTCTGTTGTCCCCACTGGTGGCCGCCCCCTGCTCTGAGTGATGCAGTCCTCGCCCCTAGCCAGGACGGGAGTGACTCCAGTCCACAGCTACCCACCACCTGGTTCTTCCGTGTTATACCTTTAGCACAAAAACAAAGGTCTCACTTTGTTGTGTGCTGCCTTTCTGGTTCTATTCGGTTTGTGGTCTCCCTTCTCTATAAGTAGTGCCGCTTCCCTCCCCGAGTGCCCTCTGTTGGTAAGGTGGTGGTGGCACATTCGCAAACTAGTGTAGGCAGATGATCACGTCTCTGGGTGCCTGCGGGTTAGGATTTAGGGGTTTAAGGGCTTGGTGTGCCCTGTCAATTGTGACTTCTTGTAAGGTTGCCTCAGTGGGGGAGTGATGGTAATATTTCCCTTAGTGTTGAGTTTAACATGTCATTTGTGACAGTCTCTGGTAAGCCCCTTATTCTTATATTGTTCTGCCTTGAGTGGTTATTCAGGTCTTCCATGCCTTCAATTAGTGTCATGCAGCCTTGAAGTGATGCGAGTGAAGCTTCATGGGCTGTTATATTGTGTAGCAGCTCCTCAGCCCATTATTACACGTGGCTGGTTCAGTCCCCCAGTGTTGTAGTGGTTTGCCTAGCTCTGCTGCCATTTTGTTATCTGGGGCTGCGTCCTGCAGGAGCCTCTGGAAGTCTTGTTTTGTGAGTAGGGCTAAGGATCTTAGGGATTCCTCGCTCTGCTCGAAGTCGGAGGTTGAGTCTTCCCACCTTTGGGAGGAAGATGGCATCGGATCTCTCGGGGAGCAGAACAGGGTTGCCACTAAAGGCGTTTTCTTCTGCCTTCTCCCATAGTGTGCAGGAGCACTGTAGTGTCTAGTGATCACTCGGCGGTATGATAGCGGGATTGCTCCAGGTAGAGAGGGTAGAGAGTGGGATAAAGGGATTAAGACCTGCCAATGGCGACACCTAATTTCAATGTTTTCTTTTAAAACCTTAATATTGCTATAGTTTCTAAAGTACAAGATATATACTTAAGTATCACTTGTACCTTCTCTAGTCTGAGATTGCTTGACCTTAGCAACTTTAAGAAGCTAAGCACATCCAGAGATATTTTAACTTGTGTGGTGAGGGATAGTTAAAATTTACATCTGTTGTCAGATGGCAACAGATGTGGACAGATTCTGCTCAGCCCGCCCCGCCTTCCTTCCCCCGTTTTAAAGATATTGAAACTTTTTTTTTTTTTTTTTAATCTGTGCAGCCCTCTTTGTCCACTTTCCTTACATGCTTCTAACAGGTGCATGTGCTCTGAGCTGGTGAGAATGTACAATAAATAGTTCTCTTTGACCTTTGGACTGCACAAGGAAGCCTGTGATATTTGAATGTGGCATTGAGAGGAGCACTAGAAGCTTTGCCAGTTGCTAGATTTCAGGTTTAAGCCTACATTTTATATCTCTGTATATAAAAAAATGGGAGGATAACCTTATGAGCATGACTCAATGGTGTATTCTACCTTGAATCAAAAAGTTATTTAAAAAGGGTTTGGAGTAACACTTAAGAATTAAAGGGACACTCCAGGCACCCAGACCACTTCTGCTCATTGGAGTGGCCTGGGTGCCAACTCCCACTACTCTTAACCCTGCAACTGTAATTATTGCAGTTTTTTTTTATAAACTGCAATAGTTACATTGCAGGGTTAACTCCACCTCTGGTGGCTGTCTACTAGACAGCTACTAGAGGGCACTTCTGCGTTGATAGCAAAGATTTTCTTTTTCAATACTTTCCTATGGGGATACCTAATGCTCGTGCGCGGCATTGCCATGAATTGAAATAACCGAGGTCTCAGGTAAGTGACCTGAATGGGTTTTCACCCCTTCAGCTACCTGGGATGGGAGGTGGGAGGGAGAGGGTACCTGCAGTGCCAGGAAAACCCTCTAAAGAGCTCATTTTAAAACTTGTAACTAACAGTAACTACCAGCCAGCCTGTTAGCGAGCAGAGGCCATTTCCCAACTGTTGAATTTCCCTATTTGAAACAGGGGAATTACCTTCTGCTACTACTGGCTCTTAGAGTAAAAGGGGAGTCGTTAACTGCAACTACCAGACTGGTTTCCAAACGTACTGAATATCAGCTGCTGCTAACACTCAAAACTTATCACCATGCTCATGCCGGTTAACAACCCATATATTTAATAAAGAATAACAACCAGCTTAGACACATTGATATACCATCTCTGTATGTTAACATTATTAAAGGGAAACTATAGTACCAAGAAAACAAAGTTATAGAGCCCTATATCTCTTAACTCTCCCGTGGTGCAGAAGGGGGAAGCCGCGAGGCAGAGTGGCTGTATCACTGATTCCAGCACTTGCATTGGACTTCCCCATAGGAAAGCATTGTATATTTTCCTATGGGGTTTTAGGTGATGCTGGATGTCCTCATGCATAGTGTGATAACCACAGTTAAACCATGCAGCAATAACTCATAGTGTGAGCCAATCCAGTGTCAATTAGGGGACCAGAAGTCCAGAAATACCTCTTGTGGCTGTCTGGTAGACGCTAGAAGTGGAGTTAACCCTGGCAGATAATTATTGCAGTTCATTAAAAACTGCAATAATTACCACTGCAGGGATAAGGAGCCTGGAACACTGCACAAAAAATACCACATCTATGAGCTGAAGTGGCCTGGGTGCCTATAGTGTCCCTTTAAGAATATAGTATAAACCTTTTTTTGGGGGGGGTGCCTTGGACCTCCATAATACTGGAGAGCAGCCTGACAAGTTGCCTCCTACTCCATTGGTTACAGGGTGAAAGGTTATTAAACGGGGTACACAAGATGTTTTCTGGTGCATGTACATTCAAGGCCCCCCCAAGGACTCATGGGATGCCCAGTCACTTGGCCTATTTATAATTATAAAAGTCTTTAGAAGACAAAAAAAGGAATGCAAAGCAGAATCACAATGAACAGAAGGCTTTCTCTGTGCATTTATAGACCTAGGAATAAAATTAGCAATTAATGTATGTTTGATGTTTTTTTTAATCTACTTGATTGATTGATTGACATGATTTCCCCTAACACAAATCACAAATATATACAGGGGTTTGTACAAAACTGTATAAATTTATTAAACAACTTGTACACTTTTGTAATCAGCGCTGGATTTAATTAAAGATTATAGCAGTACAATCAAAAATAGCAATACAATCCTGGTTAAAAAAAACTAAATAACTTAGTCAAGTAATGGTATTCTTTTACATGAATTGAAATAATTTCTTTCTTTTTTTCACGATTTTAGATTTTTTAGGGTTACCCTGAAACACTGGTCTGGCAGTTACCATCACAGTATTCTCTTCATCATCACTTGAGCTGCTGCTTCTAACTGTTATGGCTAGTCTTGGACTGAGGACATGTACACCTCCAGTGGAATCTTTATCCATTTCTTCACAGGTACTTGTGCAATCTGCATCACTGTCCAATTTCTCAACAGAAAACTTGTTAGGGGACAAAGCTTTCATTCCACTGTCAATAAATCCCCCTTCTACACCACTTGTATGTTCAACTTTTTCTTTTGCCAGTTTTCTTTTCCCTAGGTTGGATTTTGCATTCTCTTTCTGTGTTTTTTTACCATGTGTTTTTTCTTGTGTTGCTAATTCTTTCTCCATTATTTCAGTAGCTTCATCAACTTCCTCAGCTTCACCTTCTTTTTCCTTTCTTTTCAAGCATGTTACAGCTCTGCGTAACCTCTGACTTTTTATAGCCTGTGCTTCATGTTGTTCCACTCGAAAAAAAGAGTCTATACGAAGTTGGGTCTACAAATAAAAACATTGTAAAACGCAAAAAATATTTACAATGTTCATGCAGAAAGACAAAGACACGTGCAGATACAGACAACAAACAATAATATATAGGTAGTAGGTTACCAAAATATTAAAGGAAGACATGGGCCCATGGTCATAAATGAAGGGAAAAAAAATAAAAATACGCTTTAAAGAGTAGGAATTTTTTTTTTTTTTTTTAAATTACCATTATCTATTTTTTTATGGCTTATGTGATTATTTTCATTATATGTTCATTAAGAACGTATTTGTAAGTAGCCATTAAACTCGTAAAAAATATACTAGCTTTAGCATAGGAGAGCGAAAATGTGTAAATCATTTGCATTCTTTTTTGTGACAATGCTTTGGATATTTTGGTAAAAATGTCCATAACATTAGTAAGAGTTAATACTCTGTAAACTGGTAGGTATCAAAACTGGATTTTCTTTAGCTCATAGTTTAACTCCCAATCATCGAAGGGAAAAAAATATCTAAAAAAAAAAAATCTTATTTCCATTAGGAACAACAATAGTATAATACCAATATAACAAGAACATAATTTTTTACCTTTTGGGAATTTAATTGCTTCAACACTGGCAGAAGAACTTCATCAGTCTTTGATCGGTACCAGCCAAAGCGACTCTCACAGAATGTGATATTTATTAAGAAAACAACGTATGCTTATAATCATATGTAAATTAACAAATTACTTGTTGAATATTGGTCTGTAGTCAGCTGGATACAGCACTTAAAAAGGGTCTTAAAAAAAAAAAATAATAAATAAATAAAAAAAACACAAAAAAAATAATCAGTTTCTGTCTATAATGGTTTTAAATGGACCTATAAAACAGTTGGGAGACTTCCAGACCAGCCATTTAGCCATCCAGCATTTAAACCGATGCACTTGCTTGTCAACCTAACCGACGTTGATCAATGACCTCCCCCACCCCCCCAATCGAATACTTAATTAACAGGTGGGAAAAAAAAATCTCCTTATTTTGGATACTACTGGATGACTCGCTATAAACCCACACTTACAGAGCCTAATGGCATTGAGCACCCAACCAGCATACGCTTATTCTGGACTCCCTATGACCTATCAAGATCACGATCACAAGATCTAGGTCAAGATCACACCTACCTACATTGCCTGCTTTGTTTGCACATTTCCTAAGCGAGGCATATATATCGCTACATGCTGTTGGTCTTGAACTAGTTGGTTGCTCTTTACTTCTGTGTGCATTTCCATTTCTCTTTAAATTTATACAGTAATTTTGAAACTACTACACTATCAGAGGCCTATTCTGTGTTTATTCTTGTTCCATATACTTATCAATTGAGGCTAACAGACTGCTGCCGAATTTGCTGGTTTTATAAGGTGCCTCTCCATAAGAACCTACTATTTTTAATAAGGTAAAATGTATCATATGTCTGGACTTTTTCTTTTTTTTGTGTTGTTACATATGGTCTAATTTGTACACCTTTAATTTATAGTAGGCACAACCTGTTTTTCGTCACTTGTGTTTTGGTATTTCTTTTGTTGGGTTCTTAAAGGGTATCTCAGCCATCAGTGTTTGCTGCACTATAGCTAGCGCTGTATCTATTCTCATTATCAGAGAGGTATAACCAAAAAAGCTGCAACTTAAGACATGAGAGGAATTCTATCATACCACTCCTGAACTTAGACTTGCAAATTGGCCGCATTTACTAATGGTTTTTAATCTTTGTTACTTTGGATACAACTTTGTTGCATTCATTAAAAAACAAAAAACAAAGAAATTCTACAGAATAGGTCCTAAACATGTGTAACAACAGACAACCTAAACTCACATAGAAGAGAGTGATGATATAGCGCTGGATCCGCTCCTGATTATCACGGCATTTCAATAGGGTGGTTTTCTATTATGGGTCTCCACTTTTGCCGATGACTACCTGCTGTAAACAGCTAAATTACACCATACCTTATCCCCCCTACTCTGTTTATTAACTGAATATCGCAAAACAGTAGATCCACAAAAAACTGGTAAAAAAGTGAAAAGTCTTATCTAGGATGGGGTTCTCCCCCTCTTTCATCTTCCATTAAACTCACTTGGTCCTCAAAAGCACTAAAATACATTGAAGTTAACATCCTTAGAGGTCTCTACACATTATACCAAACTACATACCAGTTGTATGACAATCCATATACAGCAAGTTGGAAAAATGGTGATGCCTTCCACTTTCCATCATGGGTAGAATAAACTAGACAGTAAGTTTCCAAAAACTACCATATTTTTTTCTAAGTGCTCCCACTCTAACTATCCAAGAGGGACAAGAAAACCTAAAACAAACACGTAAGACCATGCATATGGAGTAACCACCCAACTAGAATCAGTTTACCCAAATCATACCAAATTACTCAGGAGGTTTGAACTTACCCAATGCGCACAAATCCAGTCTAGCCTTCCCAAACAGAACACGCCTTGGACTGGATAGGAAACCACGATTCACCACAACCTAGAGGCAGCACTGGCACATCCCACAGCATTATCAAACCCACAAACCAATACCTCTACATATTGCAAAATATGCTTCTAGCGACCACAATAAAAGCATGGAAGTAGGCGAGGCTGTAGTTAGGAGCTCACCCAACAAAATCCATACATCTTCACCTACTTAAAAACAGAATGTTTCAGTAGAGTGGGGAAGGCTGGTCTCCCCTTTTCACAATGGGCAACAAATGGATATAATACATTATAGCATTTTATTAACAAGGTCGACACACTCCTTTTTAGAGAGGAGAGATCACCTGAAAGCACACTCATGAGTTTTAAAATGCTCCACCATGTATACTACACTCCTGTTAGACTATGGGCAAAAAAAAAAAAAAAAAAAAGCAGACAAAATGTTTCAAATGTCCAGCTGAATACGTACCTTGTTTCTGGGACGGTCCAGTGATTCAGAGATTAGTGGAATAAATTCTACACTACTTAACCACACATAATCTGTCAAACCTCCCCCTTTGGTCTGAATTCCTACTGCAAGATCCTGTTCCTAACCACCATAACCCTGGTAGAAAATGTAGAACAATAATGGCGGCAGTGGCCCACAAGAACATAATAAAGGTCTTAAGACTACCTGACCCCCCTCCTCTTTCACACTTCTTGACAATACTACAGTATTTGTTCAGAATGGATTGGCTAAACACCATAATTAATATAGAGCCTGTTGCAAAACATTTTCTCAAAACTTGGAAAAGATAAATATTAACTCTAGATCGCCAATTCCAAAATACAGTACACAACACACAGCCCGCACACCTTTACCAATATCAACATAAATGATTGTTGTCCCACTCCCGATCTTGCTTATAAGAAAACTACACTTCAGGGATTTCTAGAGTCGAGATACATGTAGCAAATAGAATATAAAAGAATTTATATTTTGTTCCATTGGGACAAAATATCTTCCTCTTCTAGTAGTGGAGGAAGATCTGTCTAAACTAGAACCACAAAAGGATCTCACCATCCCACCTTTCGCCTTAACCAGTTAGGTTCCTCCCCACTTTGTCCCTACTATTGGTTGCAAACTTAAAATGAGAATCTTGTTAAAATAAAATACTTACTATTACTGTAAAGATGTAATGTGATTGTGATTTAAAAATTTAATGCGCTACATTGTCACTACAATAAAAAAAATATTATACAGAAAACAAACCTGCTGGGATAATTTTTAAATAAAGTAACATGTTATTTTCTTTTCTTATGCAAGTTGTAACATAGCAAATTTGTACAAATCCAAAGAAACGAAACTTTAGAATAGGTTATGAACCTTAAGAACCCACTGAAATCTAATGAAATATAGTAAATCTGCAAAAAATATTTTTTACAAATGTACTACTTACTTCCTGCAACATATGGCATCATACAAGCCAGCATAATTAATTTTTATTTTTAAAGAAAATAAGTTAAAAAAAGTAAAATAAATAAATGCAATAACGTTTATTATCTTAACAGGAATTAAAGAAAATGCTAATTTGAGTTTAACCCCTTCCCGACCGTGGACGGAAATTTTCCGTCAACCTTGTCCTTCAGTTAAGGACCGTTGACGGAAAATTTCCGTCATTTTCTTAAGTTAACCCCAGATCGCCGCGATCGCGGCAATCGCGGGGTTAACGGTGCTCCGGTCTGCCTCTGCATTAGAGGCAGACCGGGAGCACCCGATCGGGCTGCCCCAGCACCGGTGCTCGCTCTGACAGCATGTCAGAGCGAGCACATGTGCTCCACATACTCACCTTCCGCCTCCCTGCACTTCCGGGTTCTGTGTGAAGTGCAGGGAGACGGATCAGTGCTGATCTGCTTCCCTGTGTAAAAAAAAAAAAAATTAAAGTTAAATCCCACCCCCCCTGCCCCTGTTTTAATAAAATTAACCCCTTCCCTGCCAATTGATCACTGACTACAGTGATCAATTGGCAGGGTATACATTTTAATGTCATCTGATTTTTTTTTTTTAACCCCTGAGGGTTAATTATTTTTTTTTTAACCCTCAGGGGTTAAATTTATTTTATTAATTAATTTAAATATTAAAAAATTATATATTTAGCTAGCTGGGATGGGTGGAAGTTAGTGGGGAATTGGGGAATTTGGTGTTAGGCTAACTAGGGGTTAACGTTAAAAAAAGTTTTAAAATAAGCTTTAAAAAGGTAAAAAAATTATTTTTTTAAAATGTTTTAGTAACGTTTAAGTAAAAAAAAAAAAAATTACCACCCCCTTTACCCAGTCTAAATAAAAATTAACCCCTTCCCTGCCAGCTGATCACTGCCTACAGTGATCAAAATACAGATCACAGTATTATACTGTGATCTAATTTTTTTAACCCCTGAGGATTAACTTTTATTTATTTTTTTTAACCCTCAGGGGTTCCATTTATTTAATTAATTAATTTAAATATTTTATAATTAAATATTTTGCTAGCTGGGGTGGGTGGGAGTTATGGGAAAATGGGGAATTTACGGTTAGTGCTGCTTACTGCTAGTTAGGGGTTAACGGTAAAAGAAAAGTTTAGAAAAAAAATTAAAAGTGTAAAAAAAGTTAAGATAGTGTAAAACATTTAATAAGTAAAAAAAAAAGTTTAAAAATGGGTTTTACAAAGTAAAAAAAGTTTTACAAAGTAAAAAAATACATTTAAAAATGCTCATTACCACTACACTTGGTACAAGCTAGCGGAAATATTATCCCACGCTAAGGTTCAAAATATGCCTTTTGAATTACCCTGGGATGTCTTCTTTAAGAAATGATATGCCTTTATGGTGTAATTGGATGATATAGCCTTGTAAAATACTCTAAAATGGGACATGGACACAGCGTAAAAATTCAAAGTTTGGAAAAAACTGGAATGGCTGTGTCTCAAATGTGCCCCTTCAATGTCCACATATACCTGGCAAAGGTACATACGGGGGTATTGCTGTACTCAGCGACATAGCTGAACAACATATGAAGTAGTATACAGTCGTAGTACACATAAGGTTTGCAAAATATACTGCGCAAACTCACTTTGTGTGTCAAAAAGGCAGAAAAAATGCTTATTACCACTACACTTGGTACAAGCTAGCGGAAAAATTATCCCACGCTAAGGTTCAAAATATGCCTTTTGAATTACCCCGGGATGTCTTCTTTAAGAAATGGTATGGCTTTATGGGGTATTTGGATTATATAGCCTGGTAAAATACTCTAAAATGGGACATGGGAACAGTGTAAAAATTTAAAGTTTGAAATGAACTGGAATGGCTGTGTCCCAAATGTGCCCCTCCGATGTCCACATATACCTGGCAAAGGTACATACGGGGGTATTGATGTACTCAGCCGACATAGCTGAGCAACATATGAAGTATTATACAGTCGTAGCACACATAAGATTTGCAAAATGTACTGCGCAAATTTACTTTGTGTGTCAAAAAGGCAAAAAAACGCTTATTACCATTACACTTGGTACAAGCTAGCGGAAAAATTATCCCACGCTAAGGTTCAAAATATGCCTTTTGAAATACCCTGGGATGTGTTCTTTAAGAAATGGTATGCCTTTATGGTGTAGTTGTAATATGTAGCCTGCTCAAGTGCTCCAAAGTGGGCACGGACGCATCAAAACCCTCCATGAAAATTCACACTTAAAAACCTTAACTTGTTACGTCTCTTTTATAGCAGTGTAACTTCACAAAATAGTGTCTAGGTCATACATTGGGCATATTGTTTTACTCAGAAGACTTAGCTGAGCATAATTTGGGGGGTTTGAACTTAGTGGCACATATGAAATGTACAAAATGCCCAGCAAAAATGTAATCCGTATGTAAAAAATGCCCAAAATTATTTTTTACCACATACTTTGGCATATATTGGTGAAAAAATGGGGGCATGTTAAGGCACAATATGCACCATATGAGATACCCTGGAGTGTCTACTTTTATAAATGGTAGGCCTTTGTGGGTTTTTTTTGAACAGTCAAACTGCTATAATACCCCAAATTGAAGCATAGGCCCATTAAATCCGCCTCTCAAAATTCTACTGTAAATGTTGAAACGGACAGGTCTCCTATATGGCACTGTAGCTTCACGAAATAGTGCCAAAGACATACAATGGGGGTATCGTTGTACTCAGCAGAAGTAACTGAACACAAAATAAAACTTTGTACAGGAATAGCACACACCAACTTTACAAAATATACATGGGAAGTTCTTTGTTATAAGTTTGTGTGCCAAAAACTCCAAAAAACTAAATTTTACTCCAATATTTAGCAGAGATTGGCGGTGAAATGGCTACTTAGAAAGTGTCAAAAAAACCTTAGGACAATAGTCTGTGATGTCTACTTTATATAAATATATACTTTTGTGTGGCAATTTTGTTTTCTTTTATGGCTATTAAGCTTACAAGACAAACATACAAAATTCTAAAATCGCTCTACATTAAAAGTTTATTTTACTCCTTGTGCTTTATGACCTGTAACTACCAAAAAAAACTTTAAATCCCAGACACATTATATATTTTGTAAATCAGAACAACTAAATAAATTTATTTTTAATTACTTTCTTTAACCTGCACTAATTAGGCACACATTATTATTGCAAAAACTGTACAAAAAACACAAAATTTTTCTTTTTTTTGCATTTTTCTGTATTTTTTAAATAATAAATAAGCATTATATATATATATATGTTACATCAAATTAAAGCCCTTTATGTCCTTTAAAAAACAGTATATAATATGTGTCGGTGCAATAAACGAGAGAGATGCAAATTGCAGTTGAACGCATACAGCAAGAAAATGCAAAAATTGCTTGTGTCATTAAGCGTAAGACAAGCTTCTGAAGCTGTGTCCTTAAGGGGTTAAAATAGCCAAACTGGAAAAATAAACAAACTTGGCCTACAATTTGTATTTCCCATTTTAATTATATCCAATTATCTTTATGGTTAATAAACCTTAAGAATAGCATCAGTGTACTCTGTACCTTACAAGTTCAAACCGTGTTCTCCTCTTTGACAGACTAATCAAACCTAAGCTTTCTAGTTTAATTGTTGTGTGTGTGTCCTCAAATTACGCACCTAGTCTAATACCACCATTTTCTCTACAAGTCTTAAAACATTTTCTTCAGCCCTCAAGCCCCCTCTCCCCAATAACCCAACAAGTCTCCCTGGTGCAACATAAAAGGATATTCTCTGATTAGTTCTAGGTCTGGGTTTCCCCAAAAGAAAGCTCCTTTGGAATCATCAACAACAGGTTTTAGATATGAATCAGCAACAGCTCTGTTTGGGAAGCTAGGATGCAGCTCCAGATCCCGCAGTTTCTTTTTCACTTTTGTATCATGTGGGTTTGATCGAATTTTCTTATTTTTCTGTGCTTCTGTCCACCATTCTCTGAAACAATGCATGAAATCCACTTAAAAGCCACCATTAAAAAGTCTATTACATTCTTGTGAACAAAATCTGTCTACTTCTGTCTAACGGTGTTGTGATATACTGTTTAACTTAATGTCTCTAACACCATTCTTATTTTAAAGCAGTGAAATAAATAAGAATGAAAATGCATTACAGTGCAAGTAAATAAATCTATGTGTCTATCAAGGAAAGTGGAGAATTTAAAAAAATAAATTACCAGGAAAATATAACTCAAAAACATATCAACTTCAAGCACAAAGGATTAAATACTAGTATAAAATAATTTCTGCTACATTCCAACACAAGAAATTGAGGTTCAGTATTCTAGAGCCTAGATTAAGTTGCTGTACAAAATAATTTGTTTCTGAAAACAAACCACGTAAACTAACTAGATACAGAAAATTTAATATGACCTTTATTTTTTTTTTTTGTTAAGGGACTTTTATGAAAACTTTGTTATAATTAGTTTTGACCAATTTTGATGTTAAAAGAACAACTTAAAGATTTAGTACACAGGTAGCAGTTTATGAGGATTTTTTTTTTTTTTTTTTTTTAACTGCTAACTTGGACCCTCACTCTTCTACTGTAAAACCCCCCACCTTTTTCAGCACTGTGTCAGCCATCTACCTAATTGTTAGTGCCTTCACTGGCTCCAAAGTGACCACCTACTTATAAGCCCAATAAATTAAATTCACAAGCACATTCCTTTCTCATTTTATGACTGATATGATATCAGTGAACACTTCAACCGAATGTATTTTTATTGAATGATTTTTGTGACTGGATTCAGTTAATGACTGAACTGGTGGTGATGGGTTTACAGATTGATCAGAAGTGGTCAGATGTCAAATGTTGCTTAATTTACAAGTAGACGGTCTACCTAACTCTGTAGTTTTAGAACTGAGTTGCCATCAAGATTAGATATCCAACCTGATTAGTGCGTGTTTTGAAAGGGGGAAAACAGAGAGAAAGAAAGTAGCAGCATTTAATTTGTAAAAAAAATAAATAAATCATACAACACACTTACTTGAATTTTATGAGAGACTCCAAGCCTTGCCCAGGGAATTCATTGAGTATCTCCATGGCAGAAACATAACCAACTGATGGAATTCCTTCAGTGTAATCACTTCCCATCAAGTATGCTAAATTTATGAGCCTTGAGCGGTCTAATCCTAAGTATAGGAAGCCGGGAGTTAATATTTACTAGGAACATAAGCACAATGGAGATCTTTCAATCAGAATTATATATATAAGAAAGCATTTTAACAAAGGTGCACTTTTGAGCAAAAAAACTCACAGTATACACACACAAACACAAACACACATATAGATAAAATCTATATAATTTATCTATATATGCATGTACACATTATACTTGTTGAATCATTTAACCTATTGTGTGCTTTATTGATTAAAACGGTTTTGGGCTTGAAACTTACCCAGCTGATTATGAATATCTGAAAACTGGTAATACTCCACATATTTATTTTGAGTGAAGAAATTCTTATACACGTGTCGTGCACCAAAGAGCCATATATCACTGTCATCTGTGATGGTTCCTGATGTCTGGTCAGTAAGGTCCAAGACAGCACACTGAGCTTCTGCCTCCATAGGGGCTACAATGAAAGGAATGCCAAAGAGACGTAGCAACTCCTAGTGCAAGATACAAAGTATTTTTTGTTTAGCCAATTATTTATTTCTCTACTTGCAAGCTAGCTTTTAAAGTAAGCAGAACTTGAACAGCAGGAAGGCAAAAAAGACAGAAAAGTATAATCAGCCCTTTGGATAAATGATTGTAAGAGATTAGGAAGCAAAGCAAAAATCAATAGTAATGACACTGGAGGACAACAAGGTCACCAATCTAGTCAAGTGTAGGACTGGGAAGTGCACCTATTGAAAACTTATGTAGCTTATTTAATAAGTGTTCCAGATATGTTCTAACAGCATCTATCCACTCTAAGGTGACTGTTTAAACCTGGCCTGCTGTACATGTTGATAACATTGTAACTTTACTCTGGTTGTCCATGGCTTGCTAGAACCCACTGCCTTGCAGACATGGACTCAATACACAGATTGCCTTGTTGTGCAGCCTGCATTTCCTGTTTACTCAATCTGCTTAAAGAAACTCTCGAGTGCCAGGAAAACATATCCATGTTCCTGCTGTGCCCTCCTCCCTCCCACCCTTCATCCCATGTTGCTGAAGGGGTTAAAACCCCTTCAGTGACTTACCTGAATCCAACGCTGATGTCCCTCTGCGCTGGGTCAGGCTCCGCCCACACTCCACGTGTGCATTAGACCTCCCCATAGGAAAGCATTATTTAATGCTTTCCTATGGGGATTCCGGCAACGCTGGAGATCCTCATGCATAGCGTGAGGACGTCCAGCGTAGTTTAAAACACTTTTCGGGTTTTAAGAACATGGAAGTCCCTCTAGTGTCGGTCTGATAGACAGCCACTGGAGGAGAACGTAACCCTGCAAGGTCATTATTGCAGTTTTCATACACTTGCAGGGTTAAGAGTGATGGGAGTTGGCACCCAGACTACTTCAATGGGCAGAAGTGGTCTAGATGCCCGGAGTGTCCCTTTAACTGTTTACCACTGTGTCTTTATTTTTTTCTTACAGTACAGGCCCTTGAGAGGTCATTTTACGAGCTCTATTTAAATATAAAGTTCTTTCCATTGAAGCCTTTTTAGGGGCTCTGTGTATCAAATTGGATCAAATTCACCTGCTTTGTATAACCTTTAATGAAGGAAAAAAGCCATCCACTTGCTAATGAGCAGATTCCACTATCTCTGCAACCAGTCACCACCCTCAGTCCAAGCATAACTCTGTCATACTTTAACAGATGCCTGCAACATTGAATGAATTCTCTCTAAGCTTTACAGCACCATTGGCACCTCTCCTCTGGATTTCACAAATAATGTGCCAGACCAGGAAGCTCTGGTTTTCGGTGCAGCTTCCCACTGTGCAAAACCAGCTGCAGACAGCAACTCTAATGCTGGAGATTCTGGTTTCTCAATCTTCTTCCAACTTCTCTACTTGCATTGCCTATATTATCTACATACAGAAGTGTTTTTGGATATCATCTTGGCTAATTCACAGTGACTGATCTTCAGCTTACAAAACCCATAAATCTCCACAATTTGTGATGGTTTGTTTTCTTTTATCCTTTGCTAATTTGATGTGTGTCCATGTGAAGCAGGATGTGACACTTTCAACACTGTACAATGTTTGTAATTCATGTAAAACATAATCATCTTTCTTATGTCTTGTCTGTCAGCATGACCTGCCCTATTTCTTTTTCTAATCAAGTAATGTTATGAGCCAAAGATATACACATCACACCCCCAAATATTCAAGGGGATATTGTTTTCACCTTCAATGTAGTGCAGGAACTGTTAAATTCATTATAGGGATACTCATGAATGCATTCATTAGTTTATTTTTAATTGGCTTCTACCTCATGTCTTTATGTGTTATACCACATTATTTAGCATTCTTTTGATCACATTTTTCTACTGCATAAAAACTTGTGTGTGCGTTTTTTCTTTTTCTTCACAAACATCACACAACAAAAACACAACATAACTCCGTGTTCTAATGGTTCTGAATTGTATTATTTGAAATGTTTTATTTTGTGTCACATTTATGACACAAGGCGCTTATTTTCTGTATATACATAAGTTGTGAAATAAAGACAGTTTTTACAAATTACTACATCTGCCTTTTTATATAGGCACATTTTTTGCTAGGCATACCTTACAGTTAAAGAAAAACTCATCCTTGTCTTTTTTATATGACAGTATCCCTCCAGCCATGTGCAATTTTACGGTGTTTCAAAACAGACAGTATCTGTTGTCTCTCGCTTCCCTGCTCAGGAAAAACCATAGAAACCGTTTCCAAACACTGTCTGACTAAGGGTGCGTGTATAGGGCTGAATTATCCTGTCATATACTAAAAAGGTAGGGATGTTTTTTTTAAAACTCTTTTTAGAACAAGTACTTTATTTAAAAAAAAAAAAAAATATACATATATTTCCTGTCAAAACCCGATGAAAGGATTATTAAACCAAAAATAGATTTGCCCTTCAAAAGCAGATTTAATTTAGCATTATAAGGGCACCATTTCTGCATGTCCTGATGAAGCTGGTGATGTTAAAAGGCTTTAAGGCAGTATCCATAACTATGTTACATACTTGCTCTTGCAGCAGGCCAAAAACATTGTGGATAGTGTTTGTTTTTTATATTTGTCACACACTTGGTAGTGAAGGAGTAAAGTGTGCCTTGGTACAAAAGAAGTTAAAACCACAGCTCTAGATACACAGCAATAATGCAAATGTTTTTGAAAAGGGTAAGTTTTTTTTTTTTTAATTCTTAAAGGGATACTATAGTGGCAGGAATACAAAGCTGTATTCCTGTCACGATCGCTCCAGCTGCCTCTCCCCTCCCACTCCCCTAAGGTAAATAAAGGGTTAAAACCCTTTATTTACTTACCTTACCTCATCCCAGTGTCAATGTCTCTCGGTGCTGGGTCAAAGCTCTGCCCCCTCTGACATCCTGTGACTAGCATCAGACCTACAGCGTTCAATGCTTTCCTATGGGGGGCGGGGGTAAAAAAAAAAAATCTGACGCTGGGTGTCCTCCAGCGTCTGATACCAAACCAAATGTTCGTTTCGATTCAGGAAGCCCTCTCATGGCTGTCTGGTAGACAGCCACTGGAGGCAGACTTAGTGCTGCAATGTAAATATTGCAGTTTCTCTGGAACTGCAATGTTTAACATTGCAGCACTAAGGGCAATAGGGACACTGTGCCCAGACCACTTAAATTAGCTAGAGTGTGCTGGGTGCCTACAGTGTCCCTTTACATAGGCACTATAGTGTCAGGAATACAAATGTATTTCTGACACTATACTTCTAAAACAACCCTTACCTCCGGTGAGAAAGGAGATTTTCACTCACCTTTTTCCAGAGCCATGTAGGGTGCCTCGCATCTGGCCCCGCCCCACCTCCTTGGCTGACATCAATTGATGATCTCGGCCACTCACAATGCTTTCCCACAGGAGATAGTCAATTCTGGTGATGTCAGCCAAGAAGCCGGTGTGGCGTCCTGGCCAATCAGCATCTCCTCACAGACATGCATTAAATAAATGCTTCTCTATGAGGAATGTTCAGGAGCTCCATGCAGAGTGTAGAGACGCCGAACGTCAGTCCATGAAGCACCTTTAGTGGCTGTCTGAGGGGTGGCCACTAATGGGGTTCCTAAGCTGTAATGTAAACATGGTCTTTTTTCTGAAACAGGGGTGTTTACATTAAAAAGTCTGCAAGGACTGAATATACTCACAAGAACAGCTACATTAAGCTGTAGTTGTTCTGATGACTATAGTGTCCCTTTAACATGTAATGTCTCAACTAAAATTAGGCAGGTGTCTGGTTCAGTGAGAGGATTTAGATTTCAATATGCAATACTTTAAATATAATTAAAAGAAAAACATTGATTTAGATGGTTGGAAAAAAACATAAAAAAAGTAGTGTTAAAATACATACAAAACATAGGTATAGTTTATAAAATTAAACGTAAACACCAACCTGGCTTTCTATGCACATCTGGCCTGTAACAGTTGCAGCAATCCGCTCCTGCTGCTGTCTCTGTGCCTGAAGGGATGTCTGCTCAACAAATAGATTGTTCTCAAGTGACACAAGCTCTTCCTTTGTGGGATTTAAAAAAAAAAAAGCATAAAATTAATTAAAACAACTTCTTTTATATCTGCTACTATCCCCTCATTCTTAAGTATTTTTTCACATGTAACTATGTAGCAGATATACCGATATATTACTACCAGAGTTGATCAGCTTTCTGTTAAAGGAGAAATGAGATATAGTTGCCATGCCTCGAACATTTCTCATGCCGTGAATAATGCACATGAACATAAAAAAAAAAAAAAAAATCACAGTGATGTACAAGTATCATATATTTGGAAATACAAAACACATTCACACATTCCTCTTTATGTAGATAAGATAAAGATGACATAGTAAAGAAATACAGTAATGTATTTTGTCATGGATACAAGAAAGACTTCAGCAGGACTCCTTCATTTTTCCTAAAACACTTTCAAGATTTTCTACCCCAAAAATTGAAAAAAAAATATACACTGTAACTTTGCCACTAGAAATGTGTGCACTCCTTGAATTGTACTAAACTGAAAACGTTAGGCAAAAATGATGGATTTGGAAATATTCATCAACACCACTATAGTCACAACATGAAAATTCCCCCCTAGATTTTGCTATGTCATTTTTAATTCATAGAGTTTAGTAAATAAAGCGCATTGTATCCAAAGATGGTCACTGCAGTCCAATAATTGTTCTTTACATATTACACAATTAACGGATGGCAGAGTAAGGATGCTTGAACAATGCGACACATTGAACAAGTCAACTTGAACAATGCTACACATCAGATTCAGATAATTTAATCACCTGCAGTGAAGCAATTTTATATAATATTTAATAAAAATATAAAAAATTTTAAAAAATTTAGGGATATTAGCAGGTGTGGTATTTAAGCGTCTAAATTGCAGACATATCAGAAGTAAAGAAAAAAAATAAAAATAAAGGTTTAACTATGAAAACACGGACCTTAAATGAAAAGCACCATCATAGGGATACTGTAATGGAAGTTACGCAAGGTTGCTATAGCAGAGTTAATAATGGTTAATGTTGCTACGGCATGGAATAAATCACAATACCTTGCACTCGAATCAAACATGCTTAAATAGGCATTTTAAACACCATAGCCACTATGGCCCAATGTTTGACACTTATCTAGGTCCCCAGGTTGTTCCTCTTCACAGATTCTACTAAGGTGAAAGTTCCTTCTTCTGCATTAATTATATAAATTTTATCCAAATAAGGACAAAATTAATATAGCAAATGCATCAAGGGAACCCTGGACATTAGAGGTTATGATGCATAAGACTGTTCCTTTAATGTTTGTGGATACAGTGGCATGCACACTAATGATAGTTGATACTGGTATTGTTGTGGTCTAACTTCCATCTTTTTCAGCCAGTTCCAATATAAACAGTTCATCATATCTAGAAGGCATGTAATCCCTAATCATCCTCCTAACTAAAATTATAAAGACCACAAATACTTTGCATTCTTTGTTAACATTACAGTATATATGAAACATTAATTTTATATTTTAAACTCATACTTCAAGCGAGAGCTATATGAGGCCAAAGGATGATCGGATTACCAATATAAATTAGTCCTTTTACCATACTAATATCTTGCCACTCGTTCACTGAAGCTTCCACATTTTCTAAGTCCTTTTTCTGTGAAGTGGACTGCTCATCCGTATCTTCAACTGTGAAAGAGTTTTCCACTGAACAGATGGTACTGAGTATATTACTAGCAGGACTTTCGGAACTTGTTGGTTTGATTTCAGCCTCTTTAATTGTTGCATTAACTTGCTGTGAAGCATCACCACTTGCAGTATTCTCTTCTACCTCAATAAAACTTGCTGTTAAAGTTTTAAAAACAAATATGAAATTGTTACTTTACATATGACAATACATACAAAAAAAAAAAATAGTCACACATGCACAGACATACATACAGTTTACAGGTGCGCTCAAAAGTTTGCATACCTTGGCAGAAATTGTGAAATTTGGGATTGATTTTGAAAATATGACTGATCATGTAAAAAAATAAAATAAATATTATATACACACACAGTATTTTAATCAAGGATATTGATCATATGAAGTCATTTATTATCATATAGTTGTTTGGCTCCTTTTCAAAGCATAATGATAACAGAAATCACCCAAATGACCCTGATTTACATATTGATGTTTGACATCGTTGCAGACACGCAAGGTGACACACACAGAGTAAAATGGGTATTAAAGTTTAATTTTCCACAACTGTGGCTTTTTAAATTGCAATTTGTGTCTGTGTATAAATAATCAGTGTGTTAGCTCTCACCTGGATGCACTGAGCTCTCACCTGGATGTACTGAGCTATGGAGAGCAGAAAAGAACTGTCAAAAGACCTACGTAACAAGGTAATGGAACTTTATAAAGATGGAAAAGGATATAAAAAGATATCCAAAGTCTTGAAAATGCCAGTCAGTACTGTTCAATCACTTAAGCAGTGTCAAGGTCAGGTAGACCAAGAAATATTTCAGCCACAACTGCCAGAAGAATTGTTCGGGATACAAAGAAAACCCCACAGGTAACCTTGGGAGGAATACAGGCTGCTTTGAAAAAAGATTATGTGGTTGTTTCATGGAGTACAATATGACAATACTTGAACAAGAATGAGCTGCAGTGTCGAGTTGCCAGAAAGAAGCCTTTACTGCATTAATGCCACAAAAAGCCCGGTTACAATATGCATGATGACACTTTGACATGCCTCTCAGCTTCTGGCACACTGTAATTTGGAGTGACGAGACCACAACCATAAGTGTTATGTTTGGGGACAAGAAGGCCTATAGTGATAAGAATAACATCCCTACTGTGAAGCATGATGGTGGCTCACTGATGTCTTGGGTGGAGTGGGTTGGGGGGGAAGGGGTGGTGAACTCTAAAAGCACGGTTGATCTTGTAAAAATTGATGGCAAGATGAATGCAGCATCTGATCAGAAATTGCAGGCTTTTGAACAGGAGTCATTTAATTTTTTTTCTTTGCTGCCATGTTTTGTTTTATGATTGTGCCATTCGGTTATAATCTACAGTTGAATATGAATCCCATAAGAAATTAAAGAAATGTGTTTTGCCTGCTCACTCACATTTTCTTTGAAAATGGTACATATATTACCAATTCTCCAAGGGTATGCAAACTTTTGAGCAACACTGTACACACACATATACACACACAGACAGATCAATAAATGAGTTACAAGGCATGATTTAAAGGCATTTTTGTTCTTTTAAAACACAACTTTACCTCCCCCCTACACACTGGGACACGACATACACCCTGCTTCTACCTAACGAATGCGTCAAGGCGCTAGGGAATCCACAGTGACAAGAGACCACACCACATTACACCGGATTGCGACTCAGTGCCCCCACAAATAGCAGCAACCGACAGCCAGACACACAAAACACAGACGGATGCACAGTACTTGGACTGAAACAAAGATAAAGCGAACTTCCCAAACCTACACACAGAAATCCAATCCACATCCAAGAAATCACACCAACAAGCCACAATGAAAGTATATACACATAATGTTAACTACGCCCCACAAAAGGTATATGCTCCTGAAAGAAATACGTAATTCACAAGCAGACATCATATGCTTGCAAGAGACCCATTTTATACAGGACACTAAACCCATGATGGGCCTCAGAAATGTCCCTCACCAATACCACGCTACCTCTCCCACCAGATGCAGAGGAGTGTCGATTCTAGTAAGCCAATCCTTGGCCTTTGACCCAATAACAGTCCAACAGGATTGTAGGTACATTATCCTCATATGTACACTAAACAACAACACATACACATTAGTCAACACTTATTTCCTAAATGAAAACCAGCACAGCTACCTGACCACATTGTTAGATAAAATAGATAATGTACACACAGGCACCCTGATAATATGCAAAGATTTCAATCATATCCTGGACCCCAACACAGACTCCACAGCCACGCACACACACACACGGAAAAGGTCCCTACACAAGCAATGTGCATCTTTTAACAAGACATTAGCCTCATACGGCCTCTACGATATTTTTTTCACCCAGAAGACAGAGAATATACTCACTACTCACAAGTGCACAACACGTATTCCCACATAGATGGCTACTTAATGCTTAGCACACACCTACATCAAGTCAGATCCTGTGACATAAGCACCTCAACAGAATCAGACCATAACCCTGTGATACTCACGCTAGCAGATCCATACCAATACAAAAACCGCAGCCCATGGAGGCTCAACGAACAATTACTCAATGACCCTAAATTCGCAGACGAGATCCGCAGCGAAATTCGGCACTACTTCAACTCCAATGACGGTGGGGACGTGAACACACACTCAGGCCGCAAAGTAATGCAACCAATGCAAATCTGCAACGAATTTGCACACTACTACACCACCATGTACAACCTGAAAGACCAACACACCCAGCCCCACCATTCCCCAGCAACAATTCGTACATACTTAGCGAAGATTACTTTCCCTAAAATCCAAGAACACCACTCAGTTCAACTATGCGCACCAATCAGAACGACCGAAGTCCTACAGCACATAAACAAAATGCCAAAAGGGAAAGCACCAGGCCCAGACGGCTATACCAACATATACTATGCTACCTATCAACACGAACTGGCCCCAATCCTTACTAGGTTTTTCAACGCTGCCACACAACATGGGACCTTCCCATCAGAATTTCTAGCAGCCCATGTCATTACCCTCCCTAAACCGGGGAAACCTCCAACTACGTGCCACAATTTCAGACCAATTTCCTTCCTAAAGGCAGACGCAAAACTCTACGCCGGACGTCTCTGTGTCATCTTACCAACGGTAATCCACACGGACCAGGGATTCGTGAAAGGAAGACAAGGGCCAGACAACACCAGGAAGGCACTGGATCTTTACCACACCATAAAGAACTCCCAACAAGAAAGCATTATGCTATCCCTCGATGCCGAAAAGGAGTTCGACCGCCTAAACTGGCACTTCCTACAGGAGCCCCTACTTGCCTATGGATTCCCAAACACGTTCCTCTCCGCAATCAAAGCGCTGTATAGCACGCCCACAGTGCTTAACACGGGGTTCTGCTCGCAGGCATTTCCAATCACAAACGGAAGCCGTCAAGGGTGCCCCCTATCTCCCCTCCTCTACGCATTAGCCCTGGAACCTCTTGCCATAGCCATTCGCAGAAACGACGACATCCATGGAGTACAGGTCAGTCACACAGAATACAAACTCAGCTTATTCACCGATGACATCCTCCTCACACTCACACAACCACTCACAAAGCTTCCCTCCCTACACAAAGAGCTACACACATACAGTCAACACTCATATTACAAGCTTAACATCACCAAAACACAAGCAAAGTGCCTCAACACCCCCAAACACACAGAAGAAAGATTAAAAAGCAAGCCACCGATTTGACTGGAGAGAAGACCACCTGGTGTACTTGGGCATTAAAAATAACACACAAAGACAAAGAACTCTTTAGTGCCAACTATACAAGACTATTGAAAGAAATCGACACTCTCCTACTATCTTGGAAAAGTCTGTTTCTATCTTGGGTGGGAAGAATAGCGGCACTGAAGATGACAATCCTACCCAAGATCCTCTACCTATTTTGTTTCCTTCAAATCAAGCTCCCTCAAAGCTACATAACAAAACTACAGACGACCCTCCTTCGCTTCAGTTGGAGCGGCAAACACCCAAGGGTCCCCAAACCACTGCTATTGAGAAATGTGAAAAACGGAGGAATGGGCCTCCCAAACATAAAAGCATACTATCAATCTGACACCCTCACTAATGTCATTGGAGCACACTTGACCAACTACACTCCTCAATGGGTAGCATTAGAAAGCAACTACTGCGGAAAACAAGACCTACCGACAATGCTTTGGACACCCCAACATCTACGACAAACACCCCCAAGTATACTGCCTGCCACCAAGCACCTTCCAACAATATGGGTTACATGCAGAAACAAAATATGCTCGGCACACCCATGGGCCCTTGCAACCCCGATTAAAACTCTATACCACTGTAATGGCACATTTCCATATTAAAAATGGGAAAAGGCAGGACTTACACACGTATTTCACCTCTTTGACAAAAGGGGACTCAAAACGTTCCCAGAACTCCAAAAAGAATTCAACCTACCCCCAAACTTTACATTCGCATACCTTCAGCTTAAGGCGCTAGTAAATGACAACGTGATCAAGAATATCAAACGAACCCTACTAACCTCCCTCACGAAGTTCGAAACAATGCTTATCGTCAAACCCACCGAAGAAAACGGTGTCCACATGTTACAACATCCTCGCCAACCCTGAAGCGGAGACAAGGTGGAAATTTATGCTAAACTGGCAAGAAGACCTGCAAACCACTTTCTCTCCAACTGAATGGGAACAGATCTTCACTGCCCATGAAGGGTTGACCACCTGTGCCACACACTTCGAAACATTCAGAAAAATCCTCTATATGTGGTACATGGTCCCAACTCGCTTACACTCCATGTATGCAACCACATCAGACCTATGTTAGCGTTGCCACACAAACAGAGACACCATGCTTCATATATGGTGGACATGTGCAGAGGTGAACTCCCTGTGGAAGGAGACCATAACATTGATAACGAAAGTCACAAACTTCCAACTGGCACACGAACCAACTATAATATTACTCAGATTGCTACCGGACAACACTCCTAAACCAATCCGGAAGATGATCTACCTGATACTGAGCACAGTATCCTCACTGATAGCCAGATGCTGGAAGACCCCCAACTTGCCTTCCCTCAGGGAAATCGAATCTGTAATGATTGCAACAACAGAATATGAGCTCCTAATGTTGTACCAGACAAAAATTGGGAAACTAGGAATTGGAATTCCACATGACTGAAGTTTAACACTTCCAATGCAAGCTCGTAGGTAATTATATGTAGATGGCCTATTTAAGTAAATGTAGCATACCAGTGTGGGGGAAGGAGAGAGAGAGAATATATAAATTGTGATCACACATAAATAGCATTACTACTTATGAAGCAGGGTCACTAAAGGGTTGACCACTATTTTAACATAATCCATTGAAATATAATATACATAAATCAATCATTAAAAAAAAAACAAAAAAAAAAAAAAACACAAAAGTTTTGCTCGTAGCAGGATGTGCTGGACTCGCATGGTCCTCCCAGTATGATCAAGTTTATACTTCTGCATTAGCATACCAACTCAAACAATGTTAAAGTAGTATTCACTGGTTGATTGCCAACACATGACACTCTCAGACAATGAATATTGTTTAGACCTGGTATGAGTTGGTATAATAATAAGACCGGAGTTTAAACGTCTGCTTTATCAGACCAACACTGAATAGAAGGGATGCAGGAGCACACAACAGATTCAAACTATGTTTAATGGCACAAAGGGATTCCTAGTACCATATACATGGTCCCTCCCTTTAAGCATTTGGCATCAATTACATTCATCACATAAAGTAAAATAAATAAATGGAACTGCTTCCTAAGCACATAAGAACTACACTATTTTGTAAATGGTGCTGTCAGACATAACTGCATGTCCATGACTCAACCTTAAGGGAAGTTATGGATTTGTACGGCATGCCTACAATGTACAAATATCTGCTTAAAATGGGGTGGAGGCATAACTATTTTTTGTGACATCACTAAAGAAGAACAACTTACTATCGGAGTCTGATTCAACTTCATTATTCCTATCAGAGTGCTCTTCCAATTCTATACTTTCTGGCGTCAGAGGAAGATATGATTCATCAGGGTTGCTACTGCTTCTTGGTTCCATTAACCTACCAGGATTTGCTATATGTGGATCAACCACATTTATGGAAACAGGTGAAGCCTGTTTTGGAGACAGGTTACTTGCCAGTATTGGATCTAAGCTATCTGGCTCCCCAGGAGAAGGTATTTTGGAAGACCCTGGTGTATTGGTCTCAGTTTTCATGGGTGTAACCATTACACTATCTACATCAGTAGAACTTATTTGTTGTTTATCAGTCTCCAAATCCAGACATTGCTTTCTGGGAAATACATCATTAAGGAGAGGTGAATGACTTCTTGATGTAGATGCATCAGGTGTATCTTGTTTAAGAAAGAGAGAACGTTTAACACTTTGTTGGTTTGGATCAAGGTTTATGGGGCCATCAGAGGAGGAGTCACTTTTCTTTGGAGCTGGGATGCCCTTGGGATTTCCAATTCTTTGCAAGAGCAGTGTTGGACTGGGTGAACATTCAATATTTCTTAATAATGTTCTTATTTGTCTATTAGCCAAGTCATCATCCTCTTCATCAGAACTGCTGCTTTCTAGTGGCTTGACTGCTAAATCTTTAGGCTCCATCTTTTCATCTTCAATTTTCTTTGGAGTGGGTAGATCCTTTAGATACCCAAAACGTTGCAAACATGGTGCTATACTTAGTGACGTTGTAGCCAAATTGTCCTGCTCTTCATCCAAAGTAATGCTTATTTGGGGATTTGCTGGTTTTGGTTCTGCTAACCCATATTCACCAATTTTCCCATCACTCTTTTTGCAACTTGTTCCCTGTTCATCTTCATCAAGGGCGTGATGAATAGCATGCAATGTTCTAGGCGAAACACTGCCTTCTCCTATGGTAACAGGCTCAAAGGGAATCCTGCAGTTTTGAATGTCTTCCTTATCCAATTCTTCTTCGGAGGGATTCTCGAGCAATGCTTCTTCTATGGCAAAAAGTGTTCTTGGTGAAGGCGGTGCAGATTTGGTAGATGTGTCCCTGACATTCTTTGGCTTTGGCTTATGAGCGGAAGCCAGTTTTAGGTCAAGATAGGTTTTTGGAGCAATATCTCTATCAGCAGAAGATGATGCCTGAACAGAAGAATCTTCCCTCTTTTCATCAGCCTTTGACTGAACACCTAAGTAAAAATAAATATACATATTTAAAAAAAAAAAAAAAGTTTCAAACAGCATTATGTGGTTTAGAAGATTAAAAGATTAAACGGTTACTCCAAAACACTGGTTTTGGTTAGAGTAAACTTTGCTGTGCGAAACACTGCACACTTAGATTCCCGAAACCAAGACCATTTCACTAAAGTGGTGCTTGGAATAACCCTTTAATATAAAATGATAGGAGTAATGTATTTATCAATGAAACTTGAACGAATACCCAAAATATTATTACAGAAATATCAAGTGATTGTTAGAAGATAGCAAAAACTGATACATAATCTAAAGAGGAAACAATACGGTTTAACCCCTTAAGGACCAAACTTCTGGAATAAAAGGGAATCATGACATGTCACACATGTCATGTGTCCTTAAGGGGTTAATGTAGGTTTAATCAAGAGCTCTACTTAGGTCTCATAGTACATACAAGTTCGCTTTAAATTAAAAATAATTTTTATCTATATCTTATGTCAGCAAATTTAGAAATTTTAATTTGCATTTTAAAAAATATGTCAATCAATCTTTGACAGACTTCTTCATGCCAACAGTAGAATTGGGGATTGAGTGACAGGGGACAGCAGTGTGCTCCCTCCAGGGTGCTATTCTTCAAGAAAGTGCTTTGCCCTGTTCCAAGTGGAGTATAAAACGTTAAGGCAATGAAACCAGCTTCTCAGCATCACTATGAAAGATTGCCCAGCATGGGGACACTTCTAAATCACATAAGAGAGGGGGCATCAACAAGGCAGGACTAGAAAGCCTGGTGTTAAGAAATTGAATTTGATCGATTTATGATTTCTACATGAATAACGTTAGAATATGTTAATGTGTGTATTATATATATATACAGTCATAGAAAACAAAGTACACTACCCTGTCTCAAAATTAGGTAAATACAACCACAGGTGAACATAATGACATACAGTCATTGGAAAAAGAATGTAGAACCTCTTTGAATTCTATGGTTTTACAGATCAGGACATAATCATCTGCTGCATAGCAGGTCTTATAGTTAGGTTATTACAACCTCAGAGGAACAAAAACACATGATATATTACATCATTTCATGATTTAACAAAAATAAAGCCAAGATGGAGAAGCCATGTATGAAAAACCAAGTACACTGTTCGATTCAATAGCTTGCAAAACCACCTTTAGCAGATTTAACCTGAAGTAATAGGTTTCTGCATGACTATCAGTCTCTCATATCCTTGTGAAGGAATTTTGGCACACTTATTTACAACGTTGCTTCATTGAGGTTTTGCTGGTATGTGTCTATGCACAGCTCTGTTAATGTCCCATCACGGTATTTCAATCAGGATGAAGTCTGGACTTTGACTGGGCTATTACAACACCTTGATTCTGTTGTAGATTTGCTTTAGTGCTGGGGTTTTGTTTTTGGTTTTCGCTAAACATGGTGTTGTGTATTATGGCCAAACATCTCCACTCCGGTCGCATCTGTCCAAAGAACATTGTTCCAGAAGTCTTGTGGTTTGTTCAGATGCAACTTTGCAAACCTAAGCCATGCTGCCATGTTATTTTTTCAGAGAAGATGCTCAGAACAAACCATACTTGTTCAGTCTTTTTCTAGTTGTATGGTCATAAACTAACAATTAACATGCTAAGTAAGGCCTGTAGAGTCAAAGATGTCCCTATGTCACGGTAGTTTATCCCTACACGCAAGATTTAGTCCAACAATCGACAGATAGAGCAGATATGGCTTACCGGACCTTAGAATGGCCGGATTCGCCGTATAGCAGAGAACGGACAGAGTCAAGAACAAGCCGAGGTCAAGGGAACAAAGAGACTGCGAGAACAAAAAATAGCCAAGGTCTGGTACACAGTAGTCAGTAAGCCGGCAAACAAGACAAAACAGGGATAGAGAGATAAACGGAGTCAGATACAAAGCCAAGGTCAGGCACGAAAATCACAACAAGCGCTAAATGGAACTGAAACAGAAACCACGATAGCGCAGGGAGAGGTAAGTATAAATACCCTAAACTTTACTTTGATTGGCCCCTGTCATATCCACGCCCCCAAAATGTGAGTGTCTGGGGAATGTGGGATGACAGGGGCCAATGGGAGCACATTTAATTTTTTGTCTCCCACTGCCCCTTTAAGAGTGTGCCCGAGACGCGCGGCACGCTCTTAGAGCTAGGCGGGACACGTGACCGAATCTCGGGGTCCGTGCCCGCCTTCATTCGAGAGCCGCGCGGCGGGAAGAGAGGACTTCGGCCAGCCCCCGGGTAAGGTAAGTGCCGCTGCACCCTATTGGTGTTTTTGCAATTTCTATGAGCATTGCACGGTCTGACCTTGGGGTGAATTTGCTGGGACTTCCATTGCTGGTAAGATTGTCACGTTGTGAACACTTCTCACTGTAGAATTATTGACTTTAAATTGTATGGAAATGGCCTTATTAACCCTTCCAATTTAATGGGCAGCAACAAATGCTTCTCTAAGATCATTGCGGAGGTCTTTCCTTATTGGAAATGTGTTAACACACACACCTGAATGCAAGACCAGCAAACTGCGGCTTTTTGTAGAGGTGTTCACACTTGCTGTTGATCAATTAATCAAGGGCATTTGATTAGCAGCACCTGTCTGCTACTTAGCCTTTTAATTCCTATGAGAGCCGTAAGGATGTACTTAGTTTTTCAAATAGGACTTCTCCCTTTTGGCTTTATTTTTGTTAAATAAATCATGACACTGTATTGTTGTTCATCTGAGGTTGTATTTACCAAACTTTTAAGACTTGCTAAGGAACAGATGAGTGTTATAATGCCCTAATATGTAAAACCATAGAATTCAAAAAAGGGTGTACTTTCTATTTCCCATTAGTGTATCTGCAGAAATCCCGCAGATGCAGTAACTAAAATATGTATATCTTGTGTTTCACTTCACTTATTTCACTACTGTACTGACCAAAATGTAGTATCTTGATTAAAACTATATCCTGTGTAGAAGGGATCAAACCAATATTTTCCTTGCCAACATTTTAACATGCACTGCATGTTATATACAAGTATGCTGCTACATTCTATATAAAACACTTTTTTGCTCATCTAAATATTAGATACATTATAACAGTTTAAAAAATAGTTCTAGATATTCCTTTTTTCAGCTATGTCTCTGTCTAGTTATACCTTTAATAAGAATGTAATGAGAAGTGTCCTCTGAGACCAGCCGCCGTGTTTCTATTTCTTTCATAAATCCACCTTCTGTTTCAAACTGAGCCTGAACTTCTCCGCTGTATTGATGGCTCATCTCTTTCTGAACATTTTGAATGCACTTGTTCAGATTATTTTTTTTCAGTAGACCTCTTAGTTGGTATTTTGAGAAGTCACTGGAGTCCTTCAAGAGAACAGATCCATTTCAGTTAAATGTTCATAATCACACAATAAGTTGCACATTTTGGTTTATTGAAATAGAATTTCTAAAGTGTTAGGAACACAAATCTGTAACACTATAGTGCCCTCTGGTCCGCACCTTCCCTCCCCGGCACATAAAGGATTTAAAAAAAAAAAAAAACAGAAAAGCTTTATTCACTTACCAGCTTCCAGTGCCGATGTCTCTAGGTGCTAGGTCAGCGCTCAACCTCCTTTGACAGTAATGCGCACGTGCAAGAACATTAGGCCCTCCCCCAAGGAAACCCATTTGGGGTTTTCACAGACACTGGATGTCCTCTTGCAAAGTGTGAGGACGACTGTAAATTTGTAAGGGATCCAGAGTCCCTTAGAACCACAGAAGCACCTCTATTGGCTGTCAGCATTCTCAAAAACTGCAAGAATACGTGGGACCACTTCAATCAGATGAAGCGATCTTGGTGCCTATAGTGTCCCTTTAATGAAAACAATTTGTTCTGTACAATGTAGGATCAGCATCTCTGTCTTCCAGAACCATTTGTGGAGGCAGAGCCAGTGAATTAGGAACCTTTGGTCTATCAATCTATCATTTCTCCTTCCACCTTATTCACCCCCCCCAATACACATAAGAAATCCATTTGCAACATAATACGGTTGTAGGTTATGACGTGCAAAAAGTAACTCTGGGGTCACTGGAATAAATCTCTGGATCTCCAGCATACATTGGTTTCTGCACTAGAAAACTAATCTAATTAATGTATAGCTAACAAAAGGCAAACTGCTTTATTGTTATGCTGGCTAAAGCATTCCTGCAGGCTAGCCATAAATGTTATAGGAAATCATTGCCTTCAAAAAAGGCACACTCATATGCAATGTCTTATTTGGCTTTTATATTTTTATTAAGACCGTAAATAAAACCCCACTTTGCATAGATTTTCCTTCCATTGTTCGTATACTGAATAGAAATAATCATCTACCAAAGTGTATAGAAACATTTGACACTTTAAGGGTCTTTCTAATTTAACTTGATTTCCTTTGTGTCTACAACTGTGTCATATGGAATACAGATGAAGTGAGATTAGTACCATCTAGTGGTTTTTAAATATAGCAAAACCATTTCTAACAAAGCCCCCAAAAATGGGTCCTTTCATACCAAAATATTTTTTTTCTACATGCTAGGTAATCTTGTGTTACCATGGGATGCTAGGATAAATGTACACTTAATGAAGAGTAGTGCTTTGGATTACTTAGAGACACACTATAGTGTTAGCATTACAAATCTGTATTCCTAACGCGAACGTGCCTTTGTCCTTAGTTATATTCAGTCCCCCCTGCTGTTTGAAAAAAAAATATTAATAAAATGTAAATCTCTCCAGTGACCTCATCAAGATTGAAAAGGCGCCGGGTCCTCCATCACTGGTCCAATCCAATACCGTTCCTCACAGAAGAGCATTGGGGACCTGATGTGCGGCATCCGCACAAACATCCAATGCATCTCATAGGATAACATTGAATCCAATACTTTCCTATGAGCTGCAATGTCATGTGACCAAAATTTACTCTGTCAGTGCAGTGGAAGAGTCTCTAGTGGTTATCAGTATGACAGCCACTAGAGTTGTATTTAACCATTCTTTTTTGCACCTAAACCAGTTCATTGGGATTAAAGGACCACTACAGGCACCCAGACCACTTCAGCTTAATGAAGTGGTCTTGGTGCCAGGTCAATCTAGGGTTAACCCTGCCTGCTGTAAACACAGCAGTTTCAGAAATATGGGATAATCCAGCATCTAGTGGCTCTCTCATTGACAGCCGCTAGAGGCACTTCCCACTGTGATTTTAACAGTGAGAAGACACCAACGTCCATAGGAAATCATTGAGAAATGCTTTCCTATGGACTCACCGAATGCAGGCACGGCTCTTGCCACGCATTCAGCCGATAACGTCGGAAGGAGAAGGAGAGTCCCCAGCACCGAGGGAGCCTGGTGCTGGAGAAAGGTACGATTTTAACCCCTTCCTCCCCCTTCAGCCCGGCGGGAGGGGGGGACCTATTAATAATAGTGGTCCTTTAAGTGGCCTAGGTTTCTTGATGGATCCACTTGTTCCACTTCCAGTATCAGATTTGAGTGGACTTGCTGCTTCTAAATCTTTGGCTATATTCGTCACAGCCTCCTTATAGTCAGCATCATTTTTTCATCACTTTCTTAAAGCAACAACTTATTAGTGATGGTCGACTTTCTGCAAGCTGCATGCATAAGGGCTCATCTGACCTAAATACAGCTTTTGCTCCTAGAGAGCCCTAAAGAAATGGTGGGAGCACCGCAGCAAAGCGAACACCAGATGCAGAAAAGGCTCTGGGACTAAGCGACACAATTGGAGTGCCTCAAAGAGAAAACATGGTGGATAACCAGTGGGCCCGGTGATAAGAGCACAACGGGTCTCTACTAACTCTTAAATTACCAGGCCTTTGGTCACGTCCCAAAAGTGAGTCGGACAGAATTAACGGGATGCTTTATCAGCATACATTCATTTTGGCATTTTTTCCTCTCTTTTTTTTTTTTTTTTAATACGGTCTCTCAGCATTATTCCTCTTTTATTCAACGCTCTACAGGGTGTCGTGAAGACTTCTGAGATAATTGATTATTCAATGTACTATTACACTATTAGCAACAATACTCGAAATATAAGCATGTCTACATTACCTAGTGTTATAGGCAACTTTTTTAAAAACATTTTTTAATAAAGGGATAGTATTATACCAACTTCATTTAAACTGTACCTCTGGCATGGTTTCAAATAACGTTCGCCTCCGTTTTGTGAATTCCTTCATGTCAGTCAGGATTTCATGCTTTACCTCTGGAGGAAGGCATCTAAAATCTTCAGATTCAATGTCCACAGAGTTAGGATTTTCAAAGAATTCTTCCTAAAAAAATAAACAAAACCAGCTGAATTTGTTGGACCTGAAATATTTGTTTTACAACCTTTATCACCAAGTAAGTATTACTAATAAAAGAACATACAAATGGATGCAGACATATAAAGAGCTATCCTCACAAAGAAAACCAAATACAATTTTTTTTTTTTAAACCTGAACAATGTCTACCATCACCAGATGAACCATACAAGTGGTTTCACGTTAAATGCCATTTGCAATTAATGAACAAATGTCAGTCTATCACAGGGCCTATTGTTGGTTTAAATTGGTATTGGTAGAAGAAAGTGTGTAATCTCTACCTTGGCATACCTCCAGTAGGGGAACAGACTGTGGGAGTGTGACCCTTTAGTATTAAACTGGTCAAAAAAACTGAATGGCAGATCAGTGTCAGTGGACTCCATAACTAATACAATGAGATGGAATGTTTAGTATCTTTAATATTGTTGATTGTTACATCTTAAAGTTCTTGAAGATAATTCAATACCTGCAGAATCTGCTTGTGCTTCATTCGTTCTTCCCATTCACGTTCTTCTTCTTCTTCTGAGCTAGGAAATGAAATGCAAACTGATGAGAAAAAAAAAAAAAAAAAAAGTTTGGTGCAAAAGAAGAAGTGGTATCCAAGTGCAGACAACTCACAAATCCCGAGGCGGGTTGAGTCTCCCCGATATAGTTCTATACTGCAAAGCAACATACCTTACTAAGGTCTACCAGTGGACCAAACCATGTAACCCTACACAGTGGGTACAACTTGAAAGCCAAGGATTTTTAGCCCCACTGCACACTATTACCTGGCACAAAAAAAAAAAAAAAAAACATTGTCCACTCCTGAAACCCTCATATCTTTCACACCCAGCAATCACGCCCACAATAAGGATATGGCAACATGTCAGATCACAAGCGAGTATATCCAAACATCCCTCACCCCTATTCCCAATAACACCAAACTCTCTGTTCCTGCCAGGAATGTCTGCTTCCTCCCCAGACGCCTTCCTTAAAAGGAAAGAGACCTACCTTGCACTCAATGACAAGTGAATAAAACTTCTTGTAGAACTGACCTTCTATCAATCCTTCTTTCCTACAATTATATAGTTATTGCCAATAGCCCACTTTATCTCCACCGCACCAACACTACTACAGAGGTACAGGGAACTCGGAGTTTGAGACATTCTGCACCAACCACACTATGAAATCTAAATCAATATCTGGAGTTCCTCTGTCCATTGTGTTAAGAATTTTGGTCATTTTGAGACATGCCATTTTGAATCTCAAAGTTGAATACAAATGAGTCAAAAAGGCATATCTCCATACAACCAAAATTCTTAACACAATGGGCAGAGGAAGTCCAGATATTCAGCAAATCAGAAGTAAAAAGACTATTCTCCAATATATTCCACTCATCTATTAGCAACTCCACTCACGAACATAACTATAAAAGGATCTCCAGATGGCACTATACACCTTCACACATCCACAAGCTATTCACCAAATACTTGGTGGAGGTATGCACTAACTACAGGTGCACCAGGCCACATATGATGGTGATGTGCGGTAAACTAAAAATACTGGAAGAAAATATTGGCAATCATACAGTTGATAACAGTGATATAACTACCTGTAGATTCCAAAGTCACCTTATTCCTCCTTTATCCATTCTCTCTTACGCTTATCAACCTCCTCATAATGGTAGCCAATATGCTAATCCCCATTCACTGGAAAAATGCCATAGCACCTTCTATAGGAGAGTGGATTTAAAAAGTTGATTTCATAAAACACAAGGAAGGAATTCACCTATCCTTTTCCAACTCATACCAATGCTGGGCATCTTGGTTACAGTTCCTTAGACAACAAGAAAGCCAACTCAATCCGTACTGCCAGCAATTCGGGTACTCGTGTATGTAAAATATCCAAATAGAATTCTTCTTTGTTAAACTACTCATAAAAAGCTAGAAGTCAGTTAAGCCTGACTCTGAAGCATCTATGTTATGTCTTCCAATATCAAAGTGCTTTATCTGTGAAATACAATACAATATAATATATACCACACCTACACCATTTAGTGAGGGACTAGAGTCTCTTTTTACGAGCCTGCTTACAGCGGTGTTAGCCACATAAGGACAGACCAAGCACCTCAGCCAGCTGGTACCCACCAAGATGGTCATACACATTCCAAAACTGTACAACATACTGTTACAACTCTTTGTTCAAGCATTTTTTATTGCTATGATTTCCCATCAATTGTAACCTCTTCATTTTTGGATATGTAATGTCACACTTGAATTGTACACCTGTCTTAACTTTGAAAACCAATAAAAAAAAAAAAAAAAAAAAAAAAAAGAAAAAAAAAAAAAAGAAGTGGTTACTAGGTAGGAGAAATTGAAGAAGGGGGTGGTACAGCTAAATTCCTCCACAAGTCACTGATAGCTTCCCATCAAGAATAGCCAAACCATGACTAACTGTCCATGTCTACCCTTCAACACAAATTGATTACCTTTGACATATGTTAAACCATGATCAATATGCAAGTCTTTAGCAGTGTGGCATAATTTAAATAACACTTTAACCATGAGTGCACTTCCATTTCTCTTCCTCTCCAGATATAAAGAGAGACAGAAGTTAGGAAATGTTCAAATAATTATACAAATTCTAATAATGAATAATAATAATGAATAACTGCTATGTTGGGGGTATTTTACGAAGGATCATTTTTATAAGTTTTCCAAAAAAAAGAACGTACAGCAAAGTATGCTCTACCTGGCTGCTTCTCAATAAATAAACATGCACAAACTGTTCTCTCCAAAATGTGAAGTGTTGTTGTTTAGATCTACCAACACTATGGCTGGGTTATACATCCTCTGCTGTGAAATACAGATCTACAGGATATAATAGACCCGGCAAAAAATATTGACAGAACCAAGATTGGTTGAAAGTATGGTCTACTAATGATGCTGAAAGAGGTCGCTATAGATTCTGCATTAAGCAAGAGATGTACAAAAATGTGAGTTCCTTATTGTATGCGTTTCCTTTGTGCATTCTCAGTTGTAAAAGTAAACAAATGATAAATAACATCCTGTGACTGAAGAATAAGTCCATACAATAAATATGCAAAGCTCTACTGAAAATACCCACTTAGAGTTAGGTGGGAGTAATCCCTTCATCATACAGAATAGACCTGTTCTTGAAAAAGACTTTCAGATAGACTTGAGAACACCACGAACTCAAACACATGCACTCACTTTCACCAAACTCCAAAATGTAGCATATTCAAATTTAAATGGCAAAATATAGTCCAAATTACCTGTAGTCACAATTTGGCTCATTTAGCATAATGTTTACCATTTGGACTAGATTTACAATTTGATGTTTAGTAAATAATCCTGATATACTCCTGCTAAATGGGGTTAGATGGAAAGATGACAGTGGAGGAACATATGAGATCTCTATTGAGAAACACTATTAAAATCTGATTTATTTTACTAAAATGCATTTGGAAGAGAATTCTATTTAAGATGCATTATAGTAGAATGCTTTTCAGCATGAAATATTGATTAGTTACATGAGGCTGTATATTTGTGCACTATTTACAGTTTTGTTAAACTGATTCCATGAATCCAATTGAACTGAAAATGTGTCTACAAAAAAAAAAAAAAAAACTTCATCACAGCAAAAATGATATAAAAAAATAATATACAAAAAGAACCCTAATGAGTTATTAACCTGTTAGTTCATTTTGAAATAATTTCCCCTTTACCCATACATTTATCATGGTATATAACAAAATGAGTTCTGACATAACTAACTCAACTGAAATATAAATCTTCATCTGACTGTAAACATTAACAATGCTAACAACCAGCTAAAATAACTCGTTACGTTCCAAAATCATGATTTTAACTGAGTCTTATAGAACAGTGATTTAAATTAAATCCAACCTGGTTCTGGTGTCCAACCCTTCTTGATTACGCTCACTATTATTATGGTGATTTAAATTTTACTTACAAATCTTAAAAGAGCCTCCATTTGCCTGGTCATTTTCTTGTTATGAAATGTGTCAGTGGGTGATATGGGTTATAAGTAGCTGACTTTAGCCTTAACAGCATAGTGCATATATAGTTACCTATTTCTATCTTTATCTTCGAGTGGTGGTAAAGCATATATGTCATCTTCCTCTTTCCTCCGAACTTGTGAGAGGTTCGGTACTTCTGCATTACTTTGAGAAAGGAACATTAATACAATTACAAATAAGTATATTTTGAATAAGGCATTTTATTTCTTAATGTGGACATATTACCAAGGAAACATTTTTTTTTAGTTTACACTTACACCATAGTTTGTGCTAGACAGATCACATTCAATATAAACATTTACTAACAACGAGGGTGGCCGTTTTTACCAGTTGATATGATGGTAAAACTTTCAATGCCAAGACACAAGCTGTACCTAAAATTAAGGATACTATTTTAATAATAATAATAATAATAATAAAATTATGATAATTAATTTAACTAATATGCAATGTTAATACATTTTTTTTTTTAAATGAAAAACGACTTTGTAATAAGTCTGCAATGAGAAACTCTTTGTGCAGTCATATAGCCCTTTATCAACACAAGGCACATGCAATTCTACCAATTTACGTCTGTCCAGAAGATATTATTTACCCTGAAAAATTATTTAAATGTTATGGGCTTTCTGGCACAGAGGATATCCAGCATTATCAAACAACTCAACTCAGTTTAGAAATTACAGATCTGGACTGACGTATGAAATGAAAAGTTAAATTTATTGTTGCTAAAAATGTCAAACTTCCATGATGGCCATCTTAACACTATAAAAATGATCATATCACAGGCCTCCAAAAAACAGACAGTCCTGACTTGTACCACTATCCCCAGACCATATTTTCTTCTCAAGACCCAATTTCGTGAACACAACAGAAAAAAAACCAAAAAAAAACTATGAGCCTGCAAAAACTCAAAGTGCCGTCTGCCTTTTTGCCATCCTTCTGATCCTGTTTTCATATATCCCAGTACTGTATGGATACACAATTTGGGACTGTTTTCTCTTTAAACTGAGTTACACAATGAAACTTTGCAAAATGAGCCACTTAAAATGTATGTAAGTGACTTAAGTGAACATAATACCTTTCTTTATTTCCTGCCAATGCAGCTTTAATGGCTTGTCTTTTCAAAAAGGTCCTCAATAATTTGTCACTGGTTTTCTTGGCATCATCAGCTGCAGTATCTTTCCTCTGCCTTCTCTTTGCCTGTTGGCACATGATATTCATTTACTTTATATTGTCCATTTGGAGGCATTTCTCTTAACGCAAAAATGGTAGAAGATCAAAGTGCTTAAAAGCATATCAGTTAAGTTTTTATTGTAATAAAACTGGATATTCTTTTCAAATATTATTTATTTCACATGTGTTCCATTAGAAAGTTATTGATTACATAAAAAGGGGAATTTTTTTTTCCTTTTCTTCTACAGGCCTCGGTAGTCTTACTCAAAACATTAATTAGGTTTCAGAGGTCAAACTTAGTGCTTTTTTTTCTTGAGTCTCTAACTTTACAGTTTGGTTAACTGGGTACACAGCGGGAGATGGAGATTCAATTTCTGATACCCATAAAATGTTGTGTAAATATAAGGACTGTTTAATCGTACAAATAACTTTAAAATAGGGCACAAATTTGGCATGATCCATAGATTATGGGACCAAACATCAGGGTAAAATTTACTCACCAAAGTCTGTCTCTTCAACAGGGGAGCCTCTCCATCAAACACAAATATAGGACGAATCCTAAAGAATAAGAGCTTGCAAAGTCGATGAAACAGGGTCAATAAATGTGCATTTTCAATAGCATTGCCATGGCGATCCCTTGCTCCTTTAACAGCCTGGTTCAGCCAAATACTGATATCTTAAGCAATTGTTAATGGAAAAACAAATATTGACAGGCAGCAAAAAGACAAATAAGTAAAATTTTTATAATTGTTATTAGAATATAGTTCTTTCAAAAGAAATTCACAGGAATAATACATTTTAGACTAAAATAACAAAGTTGGAGATTGTTTCCATTTCAACTAAATTGGTCTACAGTTTTCAATTCTCCTCACTTAGATTTAGTGAATGCATTCATTCCAACACCCAATATGCATATAAAAGGTGAATCATGTAAAAATAATGGAAACACAACCCATTGTTGAGAAACTGCAATAATTACTATTAAGGATACCAACAGCAAGAATTTTTCCTTCCAGAGTTTCTGGATTGATGGGTCTTCCTGTACATTCTAGAAGTTTCCAAAGTCCTTGAACTCCCATTGCCTTGAATCAGCTGTGTATCAAAGAGTAGTCTAAAAAATACAAATGTATGGACCACATCCTGTTATTGATGATAGCATTAATGCTGCCTTTTACAAATTTGATCAGTATATAATTTCGAATAAATAGAATATCTTGTTCAAGAGTAGTAGAACATGGTCCTACATACCTATATTGTATAATTTGCTAGAATTACCTTAGGTGGAAAGTTAATCCTATATTTTAGGTTCCAGACATATTCTGCCTTTATCGGATATGTGTAAGTTGGGGTGACAAGTTCCCTTTAATGAATAGTCACATCAAAATGAGGTCACAGTTTGATGTTATCAAACAAATCCATGTGCATATTAACACTTGGGTTGCACAATTAAATTAGTCACAAGCAAAAAAAAAAAAAAAATTTTGATTAGAATGCATCAAGGTGACTGAAAGCAAGTGAAAAGGTTAGCATATTAATAATAATTTGGGCACACATGCAGCTTTTCAACAATTTCACCTGAATGCAATATCAATGATGCACTCTGACCTCTAGTAGACTACATTTACAGTGATTCTCAGCATGCATTTAGAAAAACAATGGGAACTGGACCGTCAGCTGTTTAATAAACATTAAACCCCCCTCCCCCCATGTAATTCTAGAATAGTCAATCAAAATGACCTAGCACCTCTACACCCTGAGTAACCTGTGCTGTTTATTGTCATAACATGTCACATTCAGGACCACAACATAAGAGACCAAGTAGCTGTTTAATAAGAGACAGGCATCTGCAACAACCTACATGCCATTGCATTTAACAAGCAGCAGTATACCTGCGGACACATACCGGCAGATTCCCATACAATGCTGTAAGTTGGCCCCTGGGAGCCGGTGCCTGTCTGCACTGCACTCACACAGAACGCGTATGGAACTCTATAGACATCTTTTGTTTCTCTCAGCGTTTCCTGCACAGGGCTGAAAGACCATTGGCTGAAGTGGTTCACGTGATCAGCGTGACTGCAAAGACTTCTGGAAAACGTAGTCCTGCCTCCTATAGAGTGTGTACAGAGTCGGTCTTGCAGAACTACATCTCCCAGGCTACGTTTGTGTTAACGTTCCAGTAGCGTTCTAGGACAGCTGTGTTATATCTGTATACATTGTGTTTTAGGAGTACGGGTAAGAAGGTGTGGGTCTGTCGTTTAACTGCCACACCTGCCCTTACAGTGATTATTATCATACCGAGCTGTCAGGGCAAAGGTGGTCAGGAGGAGGCACGTGTTTGGTAGAATTTGTAGAAGTTTGCGTTGACGTCTGCTACCAACAGGGTTATTATTCACTAAAGTGAAGATCAACTTTATGGTAAAAATAACTAACTAGACTAGTTCTTTTAATCAGCTATGCTTTCAGTTTGGCTACTCTTAAATTTAAAAGGACACTGTAGTCACTAAACAACTTTAGCCCAACGAAGCAGTTTTGGCTTATAGACTATGACCCTCCAGTCTCACTACTCAATTATTTGCCATTTAAAAGTTAAATAACTTTTTATTTATGCAGCCCTAGTTACACCTCCATACATGTGACTTACACAGCCTTTATTAATACTTCCTGTAAAGAGTAAGTTAATGTTTACACTTCCTTTGTTGCAAAGTCTGTTTAATTTTGAATTTCTTGTCTCATGCACAGTTAATAGCTTGCCAGACCCTGTAGGATCCTCCTTTTTGTAATTAAAATTCAATTTACAGAGCATGAGATAGGAAGTTATATCTGATTAAAAATGAAAACATTTTTTTTTTTTTTGCAGACTGTGTCAGTCACATCCGTGGGAGGTGTGGCTAGGGCTACATAATCAGAAACAAAGGTGATTTCATTCCTAAATGGCAAAGAATTGAGCAGTGAGACTGCAAGCACATGATCTATACACCCAAACTGCTTCATCAAGATAAAGTTGTTTTGGTGACTATAGTGTCCCTTTGAAACTCACTTTAAATTATCACTTTAGTAAATAACCCTGTCAGTGTGGTCACTGATTTAAAGTAATTAAGAAAGTCATGATTGCCAGATCCACGGTGTTTGCTTGGACAATCATCACTTCCTAGTGCTGATGGGCAGCACAGTAAAAATCACTATCCTGAAGTATGCAGCATTCGCACCCTGCTGGAAGAAAATTAAATAACTTTTTGGTCAACAACAGAAAAAGATATGTGAAAAGTTAAACTTGATGGACTTTCTGATTGGAGGTTTTTGAAGTTTATTAGATTTCCACATGTGCTTTTTATCAGCATGTAGAAGTGAAGTGTGTTCAGTAAAAATATGGCATCTCTAGATACAGTGTTCATTAGCTGGAATTCCAACACTTTCAGAGATATTTACTAAAGTGAGAATTGTTGGGAATTTAAAGTGAATTCAAAATGAATAACATATTTAAAACAATTCTGTAGTGCCAGGAAAACAAATCCGTTTCCCTGGCACTATAGGCTCCCACACAGCTGAAGGGGTTAAAACCAGACCACTTAAATGAGCTGAAGTGGTCTGGGTGTCTACAGTGTCCCTTTAAGGCAAAAATAGCCAAACTGAAAAAAGCATTAACTAAAATTTTAATAACTCAGCTTTAATTAGGCCTAGATTTTGAAATATACTTTTAATTAGCAGCAATTCTCACTTTAGTAAATGTGTCTTCATACTCAGGTGTCAGGTTGTAAATACCAAAAGTTATGATTTTTCAGCATTAACCTCTATCTTGACCGTCTTAACAACATGCTCAATACACAGGAATTACCTAACAATTTGTTTATGACATATATTTAAATCTAGTTGATCTGCCATTAAGCGCTGTCATGGAGAAACATGTGAATATACTAAGTGGAGGTTTGTCAACTGAACTGGAAGCTGCTGGTTTCATGATACAGGTATGTTTATTGCAAAAAAGATTGACATGTATGGCATTTTTTCCCAGATCCAGAACCTGTTTGCTGTAAATAATTGTTTGTGCAGTGACGGGCACTCATTTCATGTTATTAAAGGACCACTATAGTGCCAGGAAAATATACTCGTTTTCCTGGCACTATAGTTCCCTGAGGGTGCACCCACCCTCAAGGTCCCCCTCCCGCCAGGCTCTAGGGGGAGGAAGGGTTTAAACTTACCTCTTTCTCCAGCGCCGGGCAGGGAGCTCTCCTCCTCCTCTCCGCCTCCTCAATGCTTTCCTATGGACGCTGGCGTCTTCTCACTGTGAAAATCACAGTGAGAAGCGCGGAAGCCCTCTAGCGGCTGTCAATGAGATAAACATAGCAGTTTTTCTGAAACTGCTATGTTTATAGAAAAAAGGGTTAACCCTAGCTGGACCTGGCACCCAGACCACTTCATTAAGCTGAAGTGGTCTGGGTGCCTATAGTGGTCCTTTAATAGAAGAAGTCCAGTCTGCACTTCATACTTTGATTTCATCTGACAAGAAGTAGACTGCTCAAAAAAAATAAAGGGAACACTTAAACAACACAATGTAACTCCAAGTCAATCACACTTCTGTGAAATCAAACTGTCCACTTAGGAAGCAACACTGAGTGACAATCAATTTCACATGTTGTTGTGCAAATGGCATAGAAAACAGGTGGAAATTATAGGCAATTGGCAAGACACCCCCAATAAAGGAGTGCTTCTGCAGGTGGTGACCACAGACCACTTCTCAGTTCCTAGGCTTCCTGGCTGATGTTTTGGTCACTTTTGAAAGCTGGCGGTGCTTTCACTCTAGTGGTAGCATAAGACGGAGTCTACAACCCACACAAGTGGCTCAGGTAGTGCAACTCATCCAGGATGGCACATCAATGTGAGCTGTGGCAAGAAGGTTTGCTGTGTCTGTCAGCGTAGTGTCCAGAGCATGGAGGCGCTACCAGGAGACAGGCCAGTACATCAGGAGACGTGGAGGAGGGCAACAACCCAGCAGCAGGACCACTACCTCTGCCTTTGTGCAAGGAGAAACAGGAGGAGCACTGCCAGAGCCCTGCAAAATGACCTCCAGCAGGTCACAAATGTGCATGTGCCTGCTCAAACGGTCAGAAACAGACTCCATGAGGGTGGTATGAGGGCCGATGTCCACAGGTGGGAGTTGTGCTTACAGCCCAACACTGTGCAGGACGTTTGGCATTTGCCAGAGAACACCAAGATTGGCAAATTCGCCACTGGCTCCCTGTGCTCTAAACAGATGAAAGCAGGTTCACACTGAGCTGTTCACACTGTTTAAGGGAAATTACATCAAAGTTGGATCAGCCTACAGTGTGTTTTTCCACTTTAATTTTGTGTGACTCCAAATCCAGACCTCCATGGGTGAAAAATTTGATTTCCATTTTTTAATTTCTGTGTGATTATGTTGTCAGCACATTCAACTATGTAAAGAACAAAGTATTTCAGAAGAATATTTAATTCATTCAAATTTAGGATGTGTTATTTTTGTGTTCCCTTTATTTTTTTGAGCAGTGTATATAGTTCAGTACAGATATAAGGAAAGCAACTCATTCATTATCCGCTCAATTCTCTGTCTGCTTCTGCTGATTAGCTAAGAGCAGATTCTTATGGTTTTATCTGTGGACAGTGTTATTTGAAGATAAAATCAATTCCAATGATTCAGCAGACATCTAAACTTCTAAAGCCTAATAAAGTTCTAATGTCAAAATTGAGTTTGTTGGTAATCATGCATTTATAGAAATACCAAATGTGAATTTTAAAAAGGAAATTATGCTACCCTTGATCAATTCACTGGAAAATATTTCTGTTTTAGGGTGATCCACTATGGAGTGCTAGACTTCTTAAAACCAACCCACAAGCTATAAAGAATGTACATGCAAGGTAGGTTTCCCTGGAGTAATCGCAAAAGAAAGTTTAAAGGAACACTCCTCTGAGTAATATAACTACTACAGCACTGTAATGGTTGTGGTGCAAGAAATGCCTTGGCAGTACCGCTAATGGTTTGATTTTATACCTATGGTCCACTGGATATTGGTCTATGCCTCTTATCATCTGATGCTAAGAGCTGGAAGTGCCTGATAGGAGTTTCCATTAGCCCCTATAGTGTATGGCCAGCTCATTGGCTGAGAGCATCAGCTGATTGCTCTCAACCAATGAGCTAAGCCCTGCACCTCGCAGACCCCAGTTACTAAGTGAAACCGTTAGCCAACTGGCTACTTATATTTTGGGGTGCCAGGGTACCTGGAAAGAAGCACACCTTTCTCAGGACAGTTTTGTGAATGGGGAGTCACTGATTGGCTGAGAGTGTAAGCTGACTGCTCTCAGCCAATCAGTGGCACCCTTCCTAGCGGCACACCACACTTCCTGAATATGAAATTGCTGAAGCCGCATGCCGCCCTGGGAGGAGTAGACATTGCTGCTGGAGGCAACTTTGAGGTTAAACCGTTCAAGGACGTTTTAACCCTTTGAGGTAAGAGTGCCTCTGGGGGCCTCCTGACACCATAACAACTGTTTTGCTGCCAGGAGTATCTCTTTAAGGTTTGGAAATCTACAGACTATATAAAATATCCAATGTGTCCATATGAACAAATAGGTTATGTTGCCCCATATTTTGTCACATTGCAATGACATTGCCTTTATTGCCCCCAGAGATCTGGTTACAAATAAATACACAGACATACACACTTTCCCTCTCTCTCACTACCTATCAGTCTCCTCTCTAAATCACACCCAGGAAACCACCTACACATCACCAAGATGCATGTGACTCTCTACATCCTTTATTGTCCTAGAAATCCTAGAGATCATGTTGTTTCTGGTGTCATTTAAAAAAAAAAAAAAATATTTAAGTGTTTTTTTATTCTTGATCCTTGAATAAAAGGTTGCTTTAAAGTGATGTATCTGGCTAGCCTTGATTGACAAGATTTTAGTAATGTATGTTATTAGTCCAAAAAATGATCAGACCATAAATAGATATGACATCATATATTTTATAAACGCATGTTTATCCTGTATCTTTTTACTAAAGTATTTATTTATTTATTTTTTTCTAATTGTTATCCCAGTTTCCTCAAGAGTGGAGCTGATGTCCTAACAACTGCAACTTATCAAGCAAGTGTTGAAGGTTTTCAAAAGTCTCTTGATCTTAATGTAGATGAAGCAGCAGAATTATTCCATGTAGGTGTTAGACTGGCCAGGGAGGCTGCTGAGGAGTTCAATGCACAATCACCAGGTAAATTGTTAAAGTGATGTGTAAAATCATTTATGGTATAAATTTCAGTTCTATTTTGATGCAGTACTATTTTCTGCAGTTGATTAATCTATATCAGAGTAAGAGTTGGAATAGTGTAACCCTTTAGGTTCTACTTATCAAAAGGACATAAATAAGAGCAAAGGAATCCCACACAATGTTACTCCATTGTATAAAGTGTCCTAGATGCAGATTTGTGCTTGTGAAGTAAACAGAGACATTGTTATTCGCAAAGTACTAAATCTGCATAGATTTGCCATTCGTGAGTCATCATTCCGTACCTTAACATCATCTCTTTACACCAGCTTGTTTAATAACGTGCTCTACCCAAGCATTGTTTATTGACACAAACACTCACCTGTCACTCCAGGATTCCTGCTCTTGTGATAACCGTCACAAAGGAAAAGTGCCACTATCACAATTACATGGAAAAAACTAAAATAAATAGAATAACTCCGATTACAGCAGTGCATGTTAATTTGTTCGTTAGGTTTTAAAGCCAGGTAAACATTCAGCTGACATTAAAGGGACTCTCCAGTGCCAGGAAAACATATCCGTTTACCTAGCACTGCAGGACCCTGCAGTGCCCTTCTCCCTCCCCAGCCCCCAACCCATATTGCTGAAAAGGTTAAAACCCCTTTAGTGACTTACCTGAATCCAGCGCCGATGTGCCTTGGCGCTGGATCAGGCTCCGCTTGCGCTCCTCCCCTGCCGACATGAGCCGGCGGGGGATACCTAATGCACATGTGCGGCAATGGCCGCGTGCGCGCATTAGACCTCCCCATAGGAAAGCATTATTCAATGTTTTCCTATGGGAATTCCAGCGACGCTGGAGGTCCTCATGCATAGCACAAGGAAATCCAGCGTAGTTTAAAACACTTTTCCTGTTCTAAGAACACGAAAGTCCCTCTAGTGGCTGTCTGATAGACAGCCACTAGATAGGGACTTAACCCTGCAAGGTAATTATTGCAGTTTATAAAAACTGCAACAATTACACTTGCAGGGTTAAGGGTGGTGGGAGTTGGCACCCAGACCACTCCAATGGGCAGAAGTGGTCTGGGTGCCTTTAACCAGGCTTCAGGGAAAGGAAGCTGCTTTTTTTCAGATTTGTCTGTCCCCCTTTCCATCTTTGAGATGGTATGGTAATTATGTTTGTATATTTATTGTCTACAAGAATACGTGATTTTCATAAACTTACCATTTTGGAAGAAGGTAATATATCTAGGAGGGCAAGGTAAAACAAAGCAGTTTTAAAGATGCTTCTGTCATTACTTTTCCCTCTTGTTTATAGAACTGCAGGAATGTGTGGATAGGCATTTATTATAATGCGGATTCATGCGGATATTATGTTGATCAGTCAGCAAAGTCCCTGTGACAGACTAATTACTCATTTTAATCTAGCAGCATCAATATGACTTTAGTAGTAAGCATATACCGGTGGCTTTTTTAATTTTATTAGAGATGCATATACATTTAGATGATTAATTCCCTTCATGTCCAAGGTAAATGAAGGGTCATGGCTACCCTGTAGCCTACCAAAATTTTTGTTTCACCCAAAACTATTTCCTAACACTATTTCATTCCATTTCCTAAAGGTTTTTCCTACCCTTGGTTACAAGGATAGCTTTGTGACGTCCCACTTGTCTATCTAGTTTTTTATTTTTAAATATATTGTTTCTTGCAGATCCGTGTGTAAGATACCTCTATATGAGTATTTTTCTTTTTCCATACTTTAATTTCTTTTGGCAATCCTCATTGGTCTTTGATCTATGTCTAAATTAGCCAAGCATAACAGAAGACTTGAGAGACAGTACAGGGTTATAAGCTAAGATATAAAAGATAAGGATACACAATTCAGCATTTTGTTTGCCTGTCTTAACTGGTGAATTAGGCTATAACATGCATGGCTATTTGAGACTTAGGATTTTGTGAGTAAACATGTTTAGAACCTTTGTAGTTACTCTTACTCTTCCTTTTTTTTATTTATTTTTTTTCTAGTTAAGAAAAACGTTATAATAGCTGGGTCCATAGGTCCATATGGTGCTTTTCTTCATGATGGTTCAGAATACACTGGCAATTATGTGACGGACATGACTATTGAGGTACAAAACCGCATAATACTATAGCTCCACCCAGTAATGTTATTCATTGTATTAAACTTTACCGGCAATGGCCATGGCAGCATTTCTCAGAGGTTAGCTTCTCCCATCACTTGTATCGGACATGAGCACAATTAATAATTATAAATACCTCCCCTTCAGCTCTAGATCTTCAGTTCTTTTTTCCTATCCAAACTCCCCGTAGGACACTAGCCGTTTGAGCTATTATATTCTTCTTTTGTGGCTTACAAGGGAATATTGAGTCCATGGAACAGATGGTTCACAGCCTTTCTTCTCTAGAAGCTGCTGTACCAGGCGCCTCACCACGTGCGCCTACAGTGGGTCTCCAGGGGATCTTCTGCAGTGGCCCTGTGGTAGCAGCATGGAACAGATATAGCCTGGGGTAAGTCCTAGTAGGTGCTGATTTTATCGGGAGCACTTCCAAAATTGGGATTAATTTCCTGATGGTGCCTGTGAGATTCAGGCTTTTGAGCTGCTTTGGGCTTAATGCCTTATCATTCCTATTGCATCTATTTTTGTGTGCCCTGGAGAGTATATGTAGGTCTATTTATGTGTTTGGCTAGTTTGCCATTTGGTGCATGTGCAAATTCAGTTGATTGTTCGGCACATGCCCAAATACGGTTGGTTCGGCACATGCGCAAATTCAGAGGTTCTGATTTTGCACATGTTTTTATGGTTACGGACGTGCCAAACCCGTCCCAGCTTCTATTATTTGCCTCTTAGGGCAGGAGCAGTTCTAGTTCTCCTCCCACGAGCCTGGTGTGCCTTTTTTTGTGGTTAAAATCCTGGTTTCCATCAGTGCAGAAAAGAAAATCCTGTTTGGTGCTGAAGAATCTGTGTGTTTGCAAATCGTTTAGACTAACCTCTAGTGGTCAGAGTATTGAGTAGCTTCATTTTGGCTGCTTTAATTCTCTCTGGTTTCATTACTTAGGTATTTTATTGTGTTGCTACATTAGTGGTACAGGAGTTAGCCTGTATTTTAGCTCAAACTTTTATTACTAAGAATTTATGTGGTGGATTATATTAATTATAAGTATTGGTTTTTATTTTATTTTTCCTATGATTTTTTTTTTAACATGTTTTTTTTTCTTTGTGATGGAATATGGGGACATTCAGTCTTTAATTTTGACTATTGTATTTTTAGCTGTTCAGTCCACCCTAATGACTTCTTCAGCTAAATCAAATTATAGGTCGCATTCAAGAGGTACAAGGGAAGCCACGGTGGGTTTGTTTTAGGATTCATTCATCTGATTGAGAGTGCTGTGGTTCTGGCTTTCTGTTTTTTGTTTGCAGCTCCCTTAAATTACCTCAAAGGTCCCTGGGTATTGCTGGGATAGAAAAGGTAGTATAGTCCATTGTAATCTTGCAGTGAACATGCTTTAGAGGGCAAGAAAGTATGCTTACAATGTTTGTCTGGAACATCCTCTCAAGATCCTGAGACCTCATGATGAGATGTCATCTCATTTATAAGGCAAGCTGTGGTCAGGTAAATATGTAAAGCCCAATCTCATTAAATATCCAGACCACCTAGTTGGGAGACATTGAAGGGGTCTGTAAGATCCAACAGAAGAAGTTTGGATGGAGGATTCAGATGAATTTTGGAGGGATTCTCTGTTTTATGAAACTTTTGTCATCTGGTAAAGGGAATCAGTCAGCATCCACCTTTTATGAAAGAAACACAGGCTTTGATTGAGGCCATCAGAAAAACTCTTCAAATGAATGAAAAGACTGAAGTGGAGCTTATAAGCAGTCAGCATTTCACTAGCTTAAAGGGACATTCTAGTCAACTTTATCTTAATAAAACAATTTTGGTGTATACATCATGCCCCATGCAGCCTCATTGCTCAATTATTTGCCATTTAGGAGTTATATCAATTTGTTTATGCAGCCCTAGTCACACCTCCTTGCATGTGACTTGCACAGGCTTCGTAAACGCTTCCTATAAAGAGAGTTCTAATGTTTAAACTTCCTTCATTTCATATTCTGTTTAATTTAGATTTTCTTATCTCCTGCTCTGTTAATATCCTTCTAGACCATACAGGAGCCTCCTATGTGTGATTGAAGTTCAATTTACAGTGCTGGAGATAACAATCTGATTTCCCATGTAGGCTGTGTCAGTAACAGTGAGGGGTGTGTGGCTGGGGCTGCATAAACAGAAACAAAAGTGATTGAACTCCTAAATGGCAGAAAATTGAGCGGTGAGACTGCAGGGGCATGATCTATTCACCAAAACTGTTTCATTAAGCTAAAGCTGGTTTGGTGCCTATAGTGTCCCTTTAAGGAAAAAGGAGCTGTCTTTTCCCCTTCACGAAACTATAAAAGATATGATTCAGGAAAATTGGGGAAAAAATGGAGAAAAGAGTGTCTGTCTATACAGGACTTAATATCTAGACATTACACTTTTTAAAAATCAGATTTGGAGTTTGCTGTCATTGTAAAGCTATCTAAAAGAGCAATGCTTTCAGTGGACGACGCAGGGTCACTGAATGAGCCGATGGAGAGGATGATGGATAAGTCTTTCAAAATCATATGTTGCAGCCAGTGCAAGTCTCTTTCCAGCAGTAGCACTTAAAGCAGTTTCTATGGTATTGTTGCAATGGACAAATGAATTACAGGAGGATACTTCAGATGGATTAAGTGAATACCACTATCTTAAGTTCATTGACAGAATTAAGCTGGCATTTGTAGATTTGGTGCCCACAATATCCCAGTCGATGAGCTTAAGTGTGGCAAGCGCTCTGTTTGAAGGCATGGTGAGCAACACCACCTAAAAGAACAGCCTGTGTACCTTACCCTTTCAGGGGGGTATATAATTTGGTAAATCCCACTAGAAATACATAAAGAAAGCTGTGGAAGGAAGACAGGCTCTTCTTTCTATAAGAGTAGACAAAGGAACGCTGGCTCGAACAGAAGGTCCTGTCATGATTCAAAACAGTAATGGCCAGGGCAGTTTTTTCAGAATCACGCCTGGAAGCCGAATCAGTCAGCACCAAAAGACTACCTCCTTTGCTGCTGGACTGATTTTGCTTCCAGGTGAAGATCCGTTTCTCTAAACATGGAAAAAGTTGTTCTGTTTCTAGTCCAAGAATATGGTCAAGGATTTTATTCCCATATCTTTCTGACACCAAAGGGAAAGACAAATGGAGGCCCATTCTGGATCTACATGTACTCAATATTCTGCTGTCTGTAAAAAAAACTTCAGGATGGAATCCTTGTCCTCCATAAACAAGTTAGTCTACGAAGGCAACTGTCTTATATCAATTGATGCATATTTCCGTATTCCGATAGCAAAACCACATTAGAAGTACTTCAGGTTTGCATGAACCACAAACATCTGCCGTTTCACACGTTACCCTTCCTGCTTGAGTGCAGCCCCAAAGGGTCTTTACAAAGACTTTGATTACCCTCATAGCTGAGATAAGATTGGAAGTGTTAAAGATTTTCCATTACCTGAATGATATTCTGATATTGACGAAAGATTAACAACTCCTTATAAGTTATCGAGAGGAGGTCATTTCGATCTTAGCACAATATGGTTGGGTACTCAACTGGGAGAAAAGCCAGTTGACCCCTTCTCAAAGTATGTATTACCTAGGAGCCAGGTTCAACACAAGGAAAATTACAGTGACTCTGTCGAAAGACAGAGCCTTATGACTGAAGGAGCCGGGGGGCACTTCAGGAGTATCTCGGCTCATTCATTCATGAGATTTCAGAGATCCCTGTCTTCGACCATATGATTAACCAGATGGGGTCAAGAACATATGAGAATTCCTCAACAGGGTTTCTATTACAATTCAAGCATGGGAACTTATGGCAGAGCATAATTATTTCAGTCAAAGTGAAGCAAGCGCTGAGATGGTGGTTGAAGGACACAAACATATTCAGGGTTTTCCCTCTGGGATTTTGGTATGTCTTCTGCAACTTGGCAACTAACAAAAGGTGTTTTTCCCATCTGAATTTTCAGCCTCGGAACTCTTAAGCTTCATGGGTCACAGGAAGAGGGAAGCAGTATCTATTCCTTCTATTGCCAAATGTATGGTGTTAACTATCTCCAAAGGATATGAATCCAAAGGACTTCCTGCGCCAAATGGTTTGAAGGCACATTCCACCAGAGCTCTGGTGGTATCTTGGGCAGTCACTGCATATGTTCCTTCATACCAGATATGTAAGGCAGCTATGTGGTCCTCTGTTAACACTTTTGGCAAGCATTACCATTTGGATATTTGGGCCTCCAAAGACCTACAATAGCCTCTAGACATGATTGAACTTTTTTGTTCATCAGGATTTCTTGTGTTGTCTGTCTTATTCCCTCCCTGATTTTGGTGAGCTTGGGCATAGCCGAGAGTAATGCTGCTATGGCCATTGCTGGGAAATAGGAAAATTAATTCATACTTACCAATATTTTCCTATCCCAGTGGTGGGCCATGGCAGCATTTTGCTCCCTCTATAATTTTGTGGCTCAATACAAACTGGGCATCTAGAGCTGAACGTGAGTTATTTATAATGATTGATTTTATTCCTGTCCAATGGCAGTGATGGGAGGAGCTAACCTAAAAGTAGTGGTGCCATGGCCCATCACCGGGAAAGATAAATATCAGTAAACATGCATAAATTTTCCCATACATACTTTCATGGTTATTTAATGTGTAGTCACATAATATGTAATTTTTCATCCAAACTTCTTACCACTCATCTCCTGCTACATCCCTGCCAATACTATCTGCTCTTTCACCTTCACTACCATTATTTCAAAATCCTCGTCCCTCTACTCATTTGATATTCCGGTCATTTCCCATATTTCTAAAACAAATTCTCTTGTCATCTCGAAGAGGCCACCTAACTTCCCTAATTCTAACAAACTGATAAAAACTCACAAATCCTTTCATTGAGCATCCTAGTCCAACCATGTTACCAATATTAATCAAGTTTGCCTCCAGCTGATTCTATAATCTATTATTATTATATTCATTCCAGGATAAAAACAATTCTCTTTAACCACTTAGATGAATTTTTAGACTACATAATATTTTTATTTGGTGTTGATAGTGAACATATTGGTGTCTCTTTTCAAAAATGTTCATGTTTTTATACAGGATCTGAAAAACTGGCATCGGCAGCAAATGCGTTGTTTAGCTATGTCAGGGATTGATTTGTTTGCATTCGAGACAATCCCTAGCCAAAAAGAAGCAGAGGCATTAGTTTTGCTTTTGAGGGAGTTTCCAAATCTAAAAGCATGGCTGTCTTACTCCTGTAAGGTGAGTGACCCTTTGGAAAAAAACAAAACAATTTCACTATGGTTAATTAAGAAGGTTATTTAACAGGTACCTTATAAACATTTGGGTTTAGCACAAGAAAATCCTAATAAGCAGCTTTACCGTCTCACCATTTTTAAATTTTTTTATTTTTTTTAGCCAGCTCTGCATTCACCTTTTGACAGTTTTTTTGTTTTGTTTTTTTTCACCAATAATATTTGCATATTTTATTTATACTTGTCATGGCAAGGGTGCATAATTTATTATTGCACTATGGAATATCTTCCTTTAATGTAGTTTATGTAGTGCATTAAGGACCTGCCCGCCTGGCAGAGATGGGATTGTCAGTGTCAAAAGGGGTTAATCTGATTGCATGGAGGTCAAAAGGGGTTAAATCTTTTGAAGCTGGGACCGCCACAGAGGTCAGATGACAGAAGGGGTAGTGTGAATGGCATAAGAATGTGAAAATAATTTTTCCATATGGATGTAAATTAATCAAGGCTCTGCAGGGTGTGAGATCCTACACTTTTAAAAGCCTGAATGTTTAGCTGGCTTCAGTCATTTGGCTATACCTTGTAATTGATGAGCCAATCTCTGTGATATGTTAATGACCTTCAGTTTTGTTCCAGCATCATATGCAAAGGAAGAAAAAAACATTCATATCTACCCACAGAATAATAATTAAGCCTCATTTTTGTTAATGTGACAAACGCTATCTTCTAAACAAGCCCAAACATGAGTGGCCTAACTTAACCACATGGGAAGTAATTGTGATGTTTTCCATATTGGGTCGCAAGTACAGCATGTGACATATCTATATAATGGGAATTTAATAACAAATTCGTAGATACAATTATTATTGCTGTGGCAGGTACATAAGAGAAGATAGAGCCAAATGTGTCCATTTGGATTGATGGGGGTCTGGACACAAGGGGGTGGTCCCTTAGTGTCTCTATGGATACGCCCTAACTCCACCTCTGGGTGAGGCGTGTTAATCCACAGAGGTATATCGCTAATGAAACTGAAGTATGCCTGGTACTTGCTTGGGGCCAAAATCTAATTTTGAGTATGTCACCATCTTCTTTGCTGGAGACCCCCTGGGCAGACGTTTTACTTTGAAACCTGAGTAAGTGATTTAGGACTTCTGTTATTTGATCTCTTTTGTTTATCAGTTGTTGGTGTAAATAATTTATCTATTTTTTGTATGCACGGTGACTATTCTTTTTGCTCATAATAACTTTTCCTTTATTAAGTTCTGCCTTTGTCTGATTAATAATCACGTTAACTAAAGAGACTAATTAGTATTTTGCAATTGCTTAGATATTGTGCTATTTTTATTTGGTGGGTTTTTATTATTGATTTTCCTGGGGGACCAAGGCACCCCATTTATAAATTGTCTTGGTGGTGGCAGCAGCGTTAAAATAGTAATAGTTATATTATTATGTTTAAGTGTGGTTGGTGTTAAGGGGGATTTTGTCATTATTTCCGGTCTAGTGCAGACACATATAGTGAGCTTTAACCCTTTCACCACCACAACTACGTCACGCACACTCTTGAAGTAGGGTGCGTTTGTGACAATACTTTTCAAGTTTTTTTTTATTTATGGAGCCTGATTTTTCTTTCTCATCCCCTGTAATGACGTGCACGGCCCAGCTGCCTCTGATTGTGTGTTTGTAATCCCTCTCAAACACTTTATTTCAGGACTAAAGATATAATAAAGCTTAGGTAGACAACTAACTAGCCCTATTTAAGGGGACTGTGACGAGAGCAATCTCGCCACATTGCATTAGAGAAGCCTGGCTTTAGACTATGGCCCCATGTTAAAAGACATCTTTTTTTTCCCTGCAGAAAAGACCTATTCGTGCTTTTCTGCCTGGTGTTCGGTAGATTCAATCTACCGGACAACCACACGAATGACTGGACCACCTGGGAGCTGGAGTGTGCCGGTAATTAGCCTCCCTGAAGCTGCGGTTAATCGCAGCTTAATTGACGAATGCTGGGTGGCCGCCATTCGTATCACAAACACGAGGTCTTCGGCCATTTTAAACATGCGAACGCACAGCGGTGTTCAACACTTAATTCATGAAACTGAAATCGGACACAGTTTTGTGCGAACACCGCTGAAGCCGCCGACCTCCCTTCTTGTTCGGCGGGAGTGCACGAACGGCACGGTGTTCGGTAGTTTTACTTGAATATGTTATACCTGAGATAGGAATCCCATGGAGCCCATTCGCATGAGAACTGACTGTGTAAAGACTTTGGCTCCATGGCGATTACACTGTATTCGTGTGGTCTGAGCGCCATTCGCTTAATAATGTGCGCTCAGACCTGAGCTATCTGGGGATATGTTAAATGTGTAGTTTTAATGTAACATGTCCTACATGGTGTATTTTAACAGTAATTCCTGTTTTAGTATCCCCACGTGCATAATGGCGATTTGCCTTTGTCTTGGGAGATAATTGAATTACTTCTCAATTATCTCCAAGGCAGAGGGGAGGAAGCCAGGATGCATTGTGGGAATATAATGTGACTGTGTGTCCTATTTGTCTACTTGTCTGTCTTTTGTCACAGTCTCCCATTTGGTCCCCTAGGGGAGTGTCCACCAGGTGGGAGACCTGCATAAATACTGGGCAGGTAGCCCTCATTAAACAGACCACTGCTTGACCCTCAACACAGAGCCTTGTCTCGTCTTTGGGGGGATTTACTGAACGCTGATAGAGACTGATTTCTAGGAGTGTAAGCCGCTTGGATGCTTTTCCTATTCGTCTGCTAGCAGCGATTCGTATGGTTCCAGTTCGTGTGTTTGGAGTGTTATATTGTATGCCGTTCGGGAGTTTGGAGCATTCCCTTATTTGCGGTTCGAGAGTTTGGTGTTCTACAGTAGCTGTGCCTGCATCTCTGAGAAAGGGGACGATCGCCTAAACAGTTTTTACCCCTTGTGTGCAAAACGGTCCGTTACAGGGACTGATGGGTGGAATTAGGCTGCTGTTTGTTTTGGGAGCATTATCTACTCACTGTGTTTTATTGTATACTGGTCTCTGAGGAAGTCCCCTGGTGAACGAAACGCGTATCCTTTTTATACCAATAAACCTCCTTTTTACCTATCGGTGTCCTGAATGGTTCCTGATACCGGGTGATACTTGATCCTAAGAGGGAGACACTAGCCCCCCAAAACATCGGGTGAGGCACCAATAGCGCGCATATCCTTTCAACGTCCTGTGAGGGCAATCTATAGCAGTAAATATTACATTTCTAAAACTGTATTATGCTATTTTTTATTTTATTTTAGATTCATCAGCTGAATACGACACATATTGTATTTCTTGATAATAAAGCTTGTGCCTGCAAAGTTAGCACTGCTGAAATTGCAAATAAACAATGGATGTTAAGTATAGTTAAGAATTAGCAGATAAAAGATTTGACAAGTGAAGCATTGCTTGACCCAGGCTCTGAACACAAGTAGCTGGCAAGCTTGTAATATGCCTACAATACCCATTGATTTCTCAAATGCATCTGTATTTTTTTTGTATTTTCCCTCACAGCTGAAGGCAAAGTTTGATTGCTATTTCATGTCCTATATTTCCTGTAAGTTTTCTTGTAATTGTCCTATTTATAGTTAAATTCCCCCCTCTCATAATATTGTAAAGCGCTTTTGAATCTGTTGGCGCTATATAAATGGCAATAATAATAATAATAATAATAAGGGCACAGTATTTTTACCTATACTCTTTCACTCGCCATTTTGGTTTAAACAAAATCTACTCAAGATCACTTGACTAATATTTTTTTATTTTTCGTTTCAAACTGATTGTTGCTTTGACTATGGTCTTTTAATCACGTGTATTTTCACACTTTTATAGATCATAGATACTATATCAATCTGTATGGATTTGTGTTAAGGGACAGAGTAAATTTATCCCTTTCTATCATAACATTTCTGGTATTTTGATGGTTATATGTGTAACGCAGTGGTGATAGGTAAACATAGCTCTATCTGCTATTTCTTAGAAGTATTGTCAATGTAAAATTGTGCTGCCAGGTGTATAAATAATTGGTTTGATCATTTAATCTTTCATTTATTATTTTCACTAGATTATTAAAATACCCAGGCATACTTAATTCCCTCAATTTAATTAGGAATTCATGTATTTTAATATAATCTGCATCAATGCCTATATTATTTACTGAGCAACTGAAATATTTTAGGACATATCTTCAACCAGTTATGGAGACAAATTTAAGGAGGCAGTGAAAATTGGTATGGGATTAGACCAGCTGGTGGCCGTGGGTGTAAATTGCTGCGCTCCAAACTTAGTTAGCCCACTTCTAATGTCTGCCAACCAGAATCAAGACCCGAAAACTGGGTGGATTGTTTATCCCAACACTGGAGAAGAATGGAACCATGAATTTGGGTAAGTACTTGAAAACGAATTATCTGCTACCACCTTCAGACTTTCAATATGTCATAGCTATGTACTAAAACTATGTGCTAAAAAAGTCCAAACATGATAAAACTCTACAGATTTGTGCAAATTCGGAAATAACAGTTGTGCACCTTGCACAAATCTTAAATAGGACCCTGGAAAAACAGTTTCACAAGGTCCCACTTGATATATGTAGATCATGCACAACAGCATTTTTATACAGCTAGTATAAGTAAGCTGAGTTAGCATCATAGATGGCCATAAATAACAGTGTGGTACCTGTGAAAATGTACAGGTTGCTGATAGATTGCAGACAGTACGTTATAAAGTCACTGCTCAGTGTAACAGCCCAATGCACACTGCACCTATCAGTCTGTGGCAGCCATCTCTGCTATAGAGATTAGAATTTGAGTCTCCCAATTTTCTGTTAGGAAGCCTGAACTGAGCACAGAAGATGTGGTTAAAGCAAGTATTGGAGGTGAGCTGTGACATTAAATAGAAAAATATTAATTCATCTTTTATGTAAAATCTCTTCTGCTCGTGATTTAAACTAGATAAAGTTCCTTGCCACTGCCTGGGTCTCAAAATAGAGGAAACTAGCATGTAAGAAAGCTGAATAGGCAGTTGTTCACCTTTCACTACTAGAACACCTCATCACCACAAGGGAAGCCAAGCAAGAGGAGCATCATATATAGTTTATTTTATTTACTGAATGTTTAAATGTGTCTGAGAGTGTCTCCGTAAGAGTTACATGGTAAGGGTGTCTGTATATGCCCCTGCCTATGACTGTGCCAAAATGTGTTTATAAGAATATTTGTTAAAACACCTTCATGTTTGTATGATCCTTGAGTGCCTCAAAATGTTTTTAGCCTTTTCTATACATAAACCACCCTTCACTACTCTGCACATAAGGAGAGCAAGAATAGGAAATGTAATTAGTAACCCCCTACTAGGTGGACCTCATCTTTGTAGGATTATTCACACAAGTAAGAGTTCAAGGTGACTTCAAAGTGAATTTAAAATTTAAGGTCAAAGTAGCTGAACAGGGAAAAAAAGTTTTTAAGTCAGCTTTCAGTTTAGCTACTCTGGCCTGAATTTGAAATTCACTTTGAATTTAACATTGTTTGTTAGTATGTGTTAAGACCTCCAAACGACTTCCCCTATTCTGAGGATAGAGGTAGAGTAGAAAGCATCTTGGCTTATTTGTGGTTAATTGGTGTCATGAAAACACTTTTTTTCAGTGCACACTACAGCTTTCTGACACCGTAACGGCGCTGAAAAAGGTGTCTCTGGTTCCTGTGGAATCGAATAATTTAATTTTTATGCAGGCTGGTCTGCGCTCTAGCTAAGAACTGCGATCTGCTACTCGTACCCATGCTTGACCCAGGGCAGTGGACCACAAAGCATTTCTGCTTGTTGCGTGCCATGTTTTTCACCTAATCACTTTAATTTTCATTAAGATGGCATTTCTGGGAAAATTAATTAGAAGGGAAAACAGTTAATGCAATATTATGTTGTTTGGCATCTAACTTTTTAATGGCTCAATTAATGACTTTATGAATGACTTACAGTTTAACAGCAATGTTTATTTGGAGTGGGGGTGAACATAATAGTATCTAAGGAGTGATATCTTTGCATATTATTCTTTTGTAACATATGACAATCCAGAGGGCTATTGCAATTAAATTAACAAGGGAGATATCAGTATCCCCACTTTTGTAAGAGTGAATCTTGCAGTTGCAAAAACTGGGTTTGAAAATGTCCTATATTGCCTTTTTTGTTAGCCTTGAACTTGGCTTAGCTGAGCATTAGCATTTATTTTGTTTAATCTTTTCTTTTCTATGCAGCTGGCAAGGCCGTGGTGCAGAAAAACATATTCTGGACAGTGTTCAAGAGTGGATTAACCTTGGTGCTAAATGGATTGGTGAGTAGGGGCCTGGCTGTGATATATTTTTTATATACAAGCAAGGTTGGGGATACAGCTGTAAAAAAAAAAAATATATATACAATAGCGTAATACAATTAAAATATAATAGACACTGCAGTAAATATACCACAAAATCAGTGTGGCAATCCTGAAGCACATAAGGAGTGTACCCCTGTAATGGGACCATATACATTTTTAATTTTCTTAGGGATGGCATTTCCTTAGGGACAGGTGAGAGGAACACTAACGGACAGGAGAGGGAGGGGGAAGGAACGCTAAGGGACAGGGGAGAGGATCACTAATGGACTGGGAGGGGAGAGAAACACTAAGGGACATGGAGGGGAGAGGAACACTAAGGGACAGGAAAGGGAGAGAACCACTAAAGGACATGGAGGGGAGGGGACAGGAACAATAAGGGACATGGAGGGGAGAGAAGCACACAGGGGGGCCTGAGTGGGGAGAGACACACAGAGGTACATGAGGGGGGGAGAAGGACTCGCCTTGGGGTGAGAAAGACACACAGAGGGGCTGGGGATGAAAGAGACACACAGAAGGGCTGGGGGTAAAAGAGGCTCATCATAAAAAAAAAAGTAAATTATCAATCCCTGTCAGATCTGTATTTGAAATTATATAACCTAGAGAAAATCAACAAGAACAAGAAACTATTTTAGAAATAGAGCAAACTAAGAGAAAAAATTTAGACTTTATGTTCGATAGAGCAAATAAAACCCTAACTAAATGAAAACAGAATGGTTCTATCTGGGAAATTGAGCAGATAAATTCTTATCTAATCAACTTAAAAACTCTAATCTTAGGGAGAGAATTTTCGAAATATCATCAAAAATTATCAATATAGGTCCCCCCAATCAAATTTCCTCCACATTCAGAGAGTATTATTCTTCCCTATATAACATAGGTGAACAAAAAAAATAAATATGAATCGCAAATCTTTGATTATGTAACAAAAAACTCAAAGATGCAAGCATTAGATATGAAACATAGGGAAGCATTAGAAATCCAAATTGAAATGAAAGAAGTCATCCAAGTTATTAACAATTTCAAAAAGAATAAATCCCCGGGCCCAGATGGCTTCTCTAATTATTTTTATTAAAAAATGTCTCATGTAACCTCGTCTAATCTAACAAGTTTTTAATGACATTTTGGAAAATAAACCATTTCCTAGTGAAATGCTGCAAGTGATCATTATTCCAATTCCTAAACAAGTTAAAGATGTGAAACTGGTATCCAACTACAGACCTATTTCTTTAATTACTAGCGAAAATCAAAATCTTTTCTGCAATTTTAGCTGACAGAATTAAAAAGGTAATATCACTTATAATTCATAAAAACCAAGTTGGGTTTGTTAGTGGATGTCAACCATATGGCAACACAAGGAAAATCATAGATATAACAGATTTCGCCCTGAATAATAATATTTCTGTGGTAACTCTCTCTCTCTGGATGTGGAAAAAGGCATTTGATCGGGTAGACTGGGTTTTCTTAGAGGCAATTCTTAAAAAGTTTTAATTTGGTGATAATATAATAAAATTAATTATGGCCTTATATTCTGAGCCGACAGCTAAGATAGTGGGGCAGGGTTTTTCCTCCCAGAGGTTCAGAGTTAGAAATGGAACTAGACAGGGTTTCCCCTTAGCCTCTCTCATTTACATCATGACCCTAGAACCTCTGGCAGCAAGAATCAGAAATAATAAAGAAATTACGGGCATCTCTATTGATGATACCATAAATAAAGCTAGCCTCTACGCGAATGATATTATGCTGACATTAACCCACCCTGAAACCTCGATAGCAGCTCTTTTAAAATAGATAAAACAATATGGGGATTACTCTAACTACAAACTCAATATCAAAAAATCACAAGCAATGTCAGTAGGAATCAATGAAGATATAATTATTGCACTTGGGCATAAATTTCCATTTATGTGGAAAGATAAATGTATTGATTACTTGTGGATTAAAATCGCAAAGGACCCGTCCTATATCATTTGAACTGAATTATCAAGATCTACTAAATGACCTTTTTTAAAAACTGGGAGAATGGAAAAAATTGCCCATATCATGGTTGGGCAAACTCAATATTATTAAATCCTACATATTGCCTAGATGTCTCTATAATTTGAGATTAATCCCTCTACAACTTTCTTCCCTTTTTTGTATACAATTTCAAATGGCAGTAGAAAAATGTATATGGTTAAACAAGAAACAAAGAATTTAAAAAAAGGTTCTATGTGGTAATAAATCTAGTGGTGGAATGGGATTTCCCAACATGTTATTGTCTTATAGTCGAACATATGCAATGCTGCATGTACACGCTATACATTCACATTCGTCTCAATCAGAAGAGTGGTTAATGATTGAGCAAAAGGTTTAGGATATGAAGAATTATAGTAATATCCCATGGTTAAATAATGCAACAGTAAAGAAAATTACAGATAATTCTTAGGGGATTTTTGTTATTAAAAATATTTTTATTTTGGTCTAAACTGAAGACTAACAGGTTTAAAGGACAAGATAATAAAACAAACCCCTATAGAAATAATAATTGAATACAACATTCCTGATATGACTAATTTCAATAATAAAAAATTAAAGATGGCATATTTCTTAGAAGGTTCGCAACTGAAAACCTATGAACAATAATAATGGAATTTGGTATACCTAATGAGGATTACTATAATTTGAATCTTATTAAATACATAAAAGTGCATCTTATAACTGCATTAAATCCAAAGGTTATGGAAACACTAGAGAACATCTTTGCTATATTCAAATAAAAACATCTTCAAAAAAGTTCAATTTTTTTTTTAAAAACATGATAAAAGAAAAGAAAGCGATATCGCAAACCGCCTGGTCTAAAGATCTAGGAATAGAGAGATATTACTGCATGGAGGAAAAGTTGGATACAGGTTGGGAAAGTTACACACTGTTTAAATATCCAAGAATTACTTTATAAAATAATGCATAGATGGCATCTTGTCCCCACTAGAATGCATAAAATAGATTCTAATCATTCTGCTCCAGGGGCGGGCTGGGACAGGGGGCAGGGAGGCAATTGCCCCCCAGACCGCCCTAAACACAGGTCAGCCCGCATCCAGCAAAAAGGAAAAATCTGAGTCTCCGGCCTCTGGCTGGGGGTGAGGATTTTTCAACTTGCCTCTCCCTGCAGCAAGTGGAGTCGGCCGGCCTCTCCTGCTGATGTCAGGAGGAGGGGGCATGACTTCCACTGCTTTTCTCATAGGACCGCTGGGATCATCAGGAGAGGCCGACTTCACTGACTGCTGCTGCTGCCCACCCCTCCCTGGTTTAAGGTAAGACTCAGGGAGGAGGGATACACTTTAGGTTTTGTTTTGGTTTTTTTTTTCTCCCCATTCCTCAGCGGTATCGCCAGAAAAGGCCATTTTACACCTAAACTTCGACAACATTGACAATGTAAAAATGGCAAATTTTTGATTATTCAGTTTTTCATGGCCATGAAACTAGTTATTTCAAGAATGTGGAAGAAAAAACAAGAAATCCTTCTGATAGCGGTAGTTAATCAAATTAATTTTCAATTTATGATGGAAAAAGGTTATTTTGCGGCTTTTCAAAGATTTGGTTCATATAAAAAAAGGGATCCTTGGCTGAGTTCTTATCCTGCAGGATTAATGTTTAATTCTCTCTCTGTTAAGGTTTTCTAACACTAGGTGAGGGGACGCATACTTGGTCACGCAAGTTTTGTCTTTCTTTTTGTCTTTTGTAAGACTATTGCTTCATATGTGGGACATAAAATGAGATTATATCTTGATAATTTACAGATGTAAAAATAGTTTGTGGCTTTTTTTTGTCCTAACTGATGACTCATGTATTTGTGGTGTTGTATGACTTTTGATATCCAACTTTGTATGTGAAAACTTAATAGAGGAAGAAAAAAGAGTAACACTAAGGGACAATGAAGAAAGGGGTGAGGGACCAGACAGGGAAGGGAGGGAACTACTAAAGGACATGGATGGGTTGGGGACAGGAACACTAAGGGACATGTTGGGGAGAGTGGGGGGGCCTGAGTTGGGAGAGACCCACAGAGACATGAGGGGGTAGAGGGACACGCAGATAGGCCTGGGGTGGAAAGAAGCAAATAGGGGCTGGGGATGAAAGACACACAGAAGGGCTGGAGAAGAGGAAAGACACACAGAGGTGCTGGGGTGAAAAAGAAACACACCCCCCTTTTGTGTGTCTTACTCTCTTCCCAGCTCCTTGGTGTAAGACACACAATGGGGAAAAATACGGCATAAAGATACACTAAGGGGGATTAAGAGACACAGGTGAAAATGTACCAAAAATATAGCACTTGTTACTTTTTACATTTTCTGAGTGCAAAACTGAAAGCTTGCATGGCATATTTTAAACTGTATTACATTATTGCATATATTGTATTTGTTCAGCTGTATCCCTAACTGTTTGTGTATTTGATACATGGAGGGGTTCAGGGGGAAGCTATTTCCAAGTCTCAAGTTCCAAGAATAATTGTCCCAGTTAAGACAAGCATAATTTTATAGTGGACCATTACTGTTCACTGGTGATGGAAGTGATATTTTTATGCTTATAAGGTTCTGAGGATACCAGTATCTCTAAAACCATTGGTTTCCTCGCAACAGAAAGTTATCATAAAGCATTTAGAAAGTAATGGAATTAATGTGTCTGTGATAACTAATATATACTTTTCGAAGCTATTTTCATTCAAGAGTTCATATTGTAATGTTGCCGTCAGTTATCTCTGAAAATTGACAGTTCTTTCTAAAAAGAAATATATGCAACTATGTGACCTTTTTGTGAGTGATTTTGTATTTATTTTTCTAACACAATGAATGGCAAACTAGGAGCTTTGCTTAACTGTGGGTCACATCACATTTATGGAGCAACACTATAATTAAAGGTTTATTTTATTACTACTTTTTTGTATCCACTTGTAGGAGGCTGCTGCAGGACAACTCCTTCTGACATTGAAAGCTTAAGACAATGTTTGCGCCCAGCAACCTAATCGGCAGCTAACGCATTTCATGCGATATGTGAAATTTATAAATGTGAAGGCCTTAAACCATTGTGTATTCTTTTAATTTGTGGATATACATATAATTGAATCTTACAGATAAACCATCTGGTTAAATAGAACTAGAAAGACACCTGTGAATCTATACTCTAACTCAATTCAATGTAACAAGATGTGTGGTCAAATACTAAGAGGCATTCTACAGTAAATGCCTACCTAGCACCTACATCCAAAGCAAAGATCTATTTTGGAAAATTAAAAGATCTCTTGTTGCTGGTAATGGTATTTACAGTAAAAAATAAAAACCACTGTCAACTTGCATATAACTAACTTTAAACAAATGTTTCACAATTATGCTCTATGAAAATGAACTAAAAATATTTAAAATTTATTAGGAATTTATGGTAACAAAATCTAAAAAAAATAATAATGGCAGGTAAGAAGCAATAATAGACAAAACTGGTAGCTGAAAATTAGGGGGCGGAGGGATTAGCAGACAAAAAAATACACATACCAAATGCCAAGCAAGCAGGACGTGTTTTATTGTCACCTTTAATTTATATTTGCACTTGTGTGAAGATTCAGTAACTGCATTTTGTAGCGGAGAAGCAGTGGAATGCTGTATGCTTATTCTAGAGCGCTGTGTGACCAATTTTGAATGTCAGTTTCTAGTGTGTGCTAAATAAATCATTACAAAATCTAATCTCTAGATGAATGCAGAAATATTTTTTCTTTCCATCTCTGCCGTTATGCTTTAAAATTACAAATCACAACGCATAGTGTTTGTGCTTTATCTGTGTAGGTGGTCTGTTTCTTTACATGATGCTTAGTCTTCATAGGGTACAGCTCATGCAGAGTTCCGTGCTGACAGATCTCATCCACTCCTAGTCCCGTTACCTTCGAATTAGAACGTATTCATCATACATAACTAATTTTTGTGGAGGCTTAAAAATTATTTAAAGAAATGGACCTAATTTTCACTGTGCTTAGAGGGATATCAGCTACACCTTACTGAGCAAAACTTAGTTTGAGACCTGTGTTAGGTTTAACGAACAACAATTACATTTTTTTTTTCCTCACGGTTTTCAGATTGTCTGTTTAGCATAAAGTTGTTTTAGATGACACATTCAATTTAAAGTTCTTTCTGCCATAACTCTAATTACCACATTTTGCTTTATTTATTAATCTCAGTCATATAAAGCGAACCGTTGCATCAACCGAGCAGTAAAATACTCACACACCTATTCTCATGCTGGAATAAAGTCGATGCATATAAATGTAACATTAAAAATTTCGACTTAGACAAACATAGGCAGACTTGCGGATTTAATATTTTACAGACTAGTTTAATAACATGGAAGCAGGTACATCAATGAGGATCTATAAAAGTAGAAAATATATTGTACTAGTTAAACAAAACCACCTAAAAGTCTTTAGTTGGGACCAAATATGGAACCAAGAAATGCGTTCACTGACAAATTTCCAGAATAATTGATACTATTGTATTTAGTTGGCAGACGTCACAGAATAATAAAGATACATCCATTATCTTGGGGAAGTGTGTATAAAAACAACCTCACGACAATCTGAAAAAAAGTTATATTTAAGTTTTACTTTTCTAGGGATAAATATATGGGTCCTTTATCTTTCCTGCTGATTTCATCTAGGGCCACATGCAAAATGGATGTCTTCAAAATGTGCTTTATAGAATGACATGCTTTCTCAGGATTTAACGTACACATCCAGTTATAACCTTTTATATATCACAGCCATTATATTCAATATATGCGTTATTGAAAGTGAGTTTATCCTTAATATGTACTTATTTGTGTAAATTAGCTAATCCTACTAGCAACCTACTGAATAGTATTCCCTAATAATGATTCAGTTCTACTGAAGTTGCAAGTACTGAAATTACTGAAAGAAACAGGCATTTAAAGCCTCTTCTCATGCCAAGTGAGATTATGCATGGCTGTGGCAATTACACTTCTTTTTTTTTTTTATCTGAATCTATCAAACTTTAGACAGAAATGATGTAAGGTTTAGGAATAAGGTTAGCCCTTCCATTGCTTTCCAGTGTTGGATAGATTTCAAAGGATAATGTGGAAGTGTCATTTCTGTAATATCCATTGTGCTGCAGCGGGGCTGGATTATTGTGGCCAAGGAAAGCCTTGGGCCTTGTCAAGCCATTTTAAAATGTGTTCACTAAAAACTGGTGGAAGACGCCCATTGATTTGAGCCAACTGTTAACACTACTAAGAGATACAATGGCTATGGTGCTTCTTTAAATCTTAAATGCAATGACTTTAGAACCAGATTACAAATTTCATATTAAGTGTATGCATCTGCAAGTTTAAAGGACCACTCTAGGCACCCAGACCACTTCAGCTTAATGAAGTGGTCTGGGTGCCAGGTCCCTCTAGGATTAACCCCTTTTTTTTTAAAAAAAAAAAAAAAAATTTTTTATAAACATAGTTTCAGAGAAACTGCAATGTTTATAAATGGATTAATCCAGCCTCCAAATCCTCTAGTGGCTGTCTCATTGACAGCCGCTAGAGGCGCTTGCGTGCTTCTCACTGTGAAAATCACAGTGAGAACACGCCAGCGTCCATAGGAAAGCATTATGAATGCTTTCTTATGAGACCGGCTGAATGCGTGCGCAGCTCCTGCCGCCCATGCGCATTCAGCCGAAGAGGAGGAGGAGGAGGAGGAGGAGGAGGAGGAGGAGGAGAGCTCCCTGCCCGGCGCTGGAATAAAGGTGAGTTTAACCCATTTCCTCGCCATCCAGCCCGGCGGGAGGGGGACCCTGAGGGTGGGGGCACCCTCAGGGCACTATAGTGCCAGGAAAACGTGTGTTTTCCTGGCACTATAGTGGTCCTTTAATTCACCATGGCTATTTCTACAATTGGCTAAGACACACTCGTGAACACAATGAGACTTACTTGGTCTTCACAGTTTACTATCCTAACTGCCCATAACTTGCTTTGCTTTCTCATGTTTAATATTACAAAATGTATTACTTTTTTTATTTCAAAAAAAGTTGTTTTTTTTCCCCAATTATCAAAATGAATGGGAACTGAAACTATCACAAATCATATCACGACTATTCTAACATTTCATAAAAATATATGTCAAATATACACAATCCAATATATTAATGTCTTTTATGTCAACAGTGTCTAGAGATGGCCTTGGTCGTGAACTGGAAATGAGTGCCTAATAAATATTGTCTGTGATACACACCTTATGAAACCGATAAATTAAATTTCAAACAAAATGCCATACCCTTGAAAACCAAACTATTAACAATAATACTGCTTGAGACCATTTAATAATTCCCTTCTCAATCCGAGTCACTATCTGGTGAACCACTGCTCCCTCTCTCATTAATATGACACATCCTCTTCCATACAAGATCTTGGTGAAAGCCCGTGCTAAATGATCTTCCCATGTGCCCATGCGCTTTCTTGGGTACATTGTCTTCACTTTCAGATTTAGGGATTCTCCTGGAATGCATGGGTGGTGGCTGGGGTTCTGGCCTCAGGTTGCCAAGTTGCATATTCCATGGCCCAAATCTCTGCCAACTGAGTTTCTGAAATGCCATGAGGCAATGTAGATTTCCTCCAGTCTGAAAAATTTAAGAGAAATTAAAACAGGAGGTCTTCCTTTCATTCGTCCAACAAAAAAAATGGAAGACTGGGGAACAGCTGTTAGTTATAGAATGAGACAAACAATTAATTGAAGCCCCAAAGGCAAAGAAAGTTAAAAAGAGAGTCTAAGCACCATAACCACTAAAGTGCACCTGCCGGCTGTCTGTCTGAGCTAAAAGCAGTCGTAGTAAGAGGGATCAACTGACACGCCCAGCCAACAGGGCTTAGAACAGGAGAGCTAGTGGAGCCTCCAGCTCTGTCAGAAGTAGTGGAGCTGGAAAGCAGAGCCAGGCAGACCCCTGGTAAGAAGGTAAACTGTTCCAAACCAATCTGACTACTTACACTGGCTGGTGGTGTAAGCAGGAATTCATGGCATGAGAACCATAACCACTACAGTATGCTTAGATGTTTAAAAACTCCCTTGCTTGTAGATAATGATGTGAAATCCCGAGCTTAGTGAATAACCATGAGAAAGTATGGTTCTCTGCACAAACAAACAAACACGCCTAACTTGTCAGAGCTACCATAGGAATGTATTTCCTAGGTCAGGGGTAGGCCACCTTCGGCACTCCAGATGCTTTGGACTACATCTCCCATAATGCTCTTACAGCCACAATGCTGGCAAATCATCACGAGAGATGTAGTCAACAACATCTGGGGTGCCAAAGGTTGCCGATCCCTATCCTGGGTCTTGTTAAATTGCAATATACATGCAACAGTCATGAGATGCCATGGCCAACGATATCACATTATGTGGAAATCACAGAATATACCTGTAGAGCAAGAACTAAGAATCTAACATTTTATTTCAGTGCTCACAATGCATGTAAATTCAGGGTCCCACACACTTTTCAATGTTGTACTCTTGGCCATATTTGGTCAGAAGCCCAAAACTGGAGATTAATGAGAGAGTCTCATATCTTCAACCTTTTACTATCAGTCATTTATACAACTTTAGTCGTTCATGGATTAACCGCATGTGTAGATCCTTTGCACTTTCCCGGTCATTCCGTTCTCCCTATATGTAAAGTTGTAAAATGATGATTACCCAGGAAAAGAACAGTGTAAAATAACATTTTCCCTTCAGATGCTTATGTGCAGGCAGTCTACTGACAATCTTGAGACACAAAATTATGTCAATATGCTTGGCTGAATAAAGTTAATACAAGCTGCACTCATGTCATGTTCCACTTGTGAGAGGCCAGTAAGATATAGGGTTCTATGTAGTGTGACATGTAGAATAGTGAAAACATTTTATAGCCATATGTATATGTAGGTTTGAGGAGAGGGAAAGAGATAACTCTGTGTACTTTAACTTTTTAGGCTTCAAAGACACAGCAGGTTATGCCCCTTGTAAACTTTAACAGCTGTAACATATGGCAATAAAAACAAAATGAGAACTTGTGAAAGCCAACAAGAACAGGGCGGGTT